TTAAGAACAGCAAAGCCATGATTGGTCATATTTATATGGAAGCATCCTCAGGTAGTGTAGATTCAAGTTTGTTCAAGTCATGCAACCCCTCCCCCCTTCAGGATAGGATGGGGCCACAATGGGAGATCAAAGTTTTCCATAGGAATATATAGAAATATATAGAAAAAACTTTAAAAATCTTCTTCTCAAGATCAGCAAATCCATGATTGGTCATATTTATATCGAAGCATCCTCAGATAGTGTAGATTCAAGTTTGTTCAAATCATGACCCCCAGAGGTAGGGTGGGGCCACAATGAGTGATCAAAGTTACAATATTTAGGAAAAAATCTTTTTCTCAAGAACAGAAAAGCCATGATTAGTCAAATTGATATGGAGATATCCTTGGGTAGTGTAGAATGAAATTTGTTCAAATGAGGTCCCCTGGGGGAGGGTGGGGCCACAATGGGGAATCAAATTTTTACAAATGAAAAATCTTCTGCTGAAGAACAGCAAAGCCATTTGTTATATTGTATTGTTATGAAAGCATCATCAGGTAGTTTAAAATCCCCCCCCCCTTAATTTTTTCAATACTGAACTGATTTTTGCTTTTTTTTCCTAGCCTATGTGCTCAGGTGAGCGATGTGGCCCATGGGCCTCTTGTTTTAATGAATGAAACCAAGGAACAACCTAATAAAACATCAATACCAATACATTGTAATAACATTGTTTTTTTAATACATTGAAAAAATAAATTGCAACTATCTGTCATCTTTTTGAGACATGATACTCTGCAATTTGATTGTTGAAAAAAAAAATCAATCAATTACAAAATCAAATTAATCTTGATAACTTTATATCAAATTCATTTTAAAAAAAGGCTGGTCATCCAGTAACTATGTACTATGACAGACAATAAATTACAATTGAGAGAATTAAAGAACAGAGATCTTTAAATTCCCAGGAGATATAGATAACACATGCTTGATCAGAGATGCCCTAACAACTTCCTACACTGAACTCATTAATTTATCTTTAACTGGATGCATGTCCACTCTACCTCTACTCCGAAGGGACAAATGGATTTACACTATCTGCTGTGTAATGTAAAAATTGTTTTTAATACTTGGTGATTATTTTTTATTTTAATGAATACTTTTAAGTTGTAGTTCACATTTTTGTACAGATGTTCTAGATTCTAAGTCTCAAACCTTAGAAATAAATCCCAAATCACTAAGTCAATAAAAATGAAAAAAAAACCTGTAAAATGCAGAAAAATTATCAAATAATGTTGAAAATACCAGTTGCACATCTTCATATGGTAAATAATGAGTGTACAAATTTTCATACAATTCTATGAAATATATAGTCTCTGAGAAAAGGTCAGGACAAAACTAGGCAGTTGAATTATGATATAAAACAACACTAAGTGTATAAAAAATAGATAGTTAAGAAAGTGAAAATTTAAACGTCAATTAAATGTCAGTATCATGGTGGATAATGAAACATCAGTGTCAGTGTACTTTGTAGTCCAAATTGCGTTGTTTCAAAAAATCCTGTTTATTCATGCCAGACAAGTTAATATGATCTTCCTTATTTAGGAATTCATTAATTGTCAAAATCCACTCCTGTACTTTTTGATTTTAACAAACTCTCTCCCTGTAGTAAGATAAATAATAAATCACTCCGATGTATTTTTAACGCCCTTTTTCATTCAACTGACTGATTTTTTTTACTAATATCTACGTTGATTGGACATGTGAAAGGGTCATACAAATGCATGTTCTTGCTTTTAAACATTATGCTTTAAAAATACCTGCAAACATGGACTTTTTTTTATATGATCTAAAAAAAAAAAAAAAAATTGTGAAATTTTGTGACGATGTAAAGAGTTATAGCATTTGCGTCAGAAGAAACCTGAAGCTTCCCTCTATTCAAATTAGGGGTGCTTTTTGTGCAAATGTATTCATCCAGTGACTTTTCATCCGATACACAGGTTTTTTGAGCACTCCGTACTTCAATTTCTTTCCTTTAAGGTTTCTTCTATTGGAAGTATGCATTTGTGCACTTGTAACAAACAATTTATTTTTCTAAAGATATGATGATTAGGTGTTTTTCAAATAATGGACTATAAAATTAATGACAGTATTAACTGAAAAAAAAATCTTTCATATCTTCCAAGTCAATGAACGGAGCATTGTTGTATATTTAGGAACAAGGGCAAATGTATAATATCAACTAATCATGGCTTTTCTGTTCTTGAGAAAAAGATTTTTTCCTATATATTCCTCTGTAAACTTTGATCACCCATTGTGGCCCCAAGCTATCCCCGGGGGTCATGATTTGAACAAACTTGAATCTACAATACCGGAAGATACTTCCATATAAATATGACCAATCATGGCTTTGCTGATCTCGAGGAGAAGATTTTTAAAGATATTTTCCTATATATTCCTATGTAAAACTTTGATCCCCCATTGGGGTCCCACCCTTCCCCCGGGGGTCATGATTTGAACAAACTTGAATCTACACTACCTGAGGATTCTTCCATATAAATATGACCAATCATGGCTTTGCTGTTCTTAAGAAGAAGATTTTTAAAGATATTTTCCTATATATTTCTATGTAAAACTTTGACCCCTCATTGTGTCGCCACCCTACCCCCAGGGGTCATGATTTGAACAAATTTGAATCTACACTATCTGAGGATTCTTCCATATAAATATGACCAATCATGGCTTTGCTGATCTTAAGAAGATTTTTAAAGACATTTTCCTATATATTTCTATGTAAAACTTTGATCCCCCATTGTGGCCCCACCCTACCCCCAGGGGTCATGATTTGAACAAATTTGAATCTACACTATCTGAGGATGTTTCCATATAAATATGACCAATCATGGCTTTGCTGTTCTTAAGAAGAAGATTTTTAAAGACATTTTCCTATATATTTCTATGTAAAACTTTGATCCCCCATTGTGGCCCCACCCTACCCCCGGGGGTCATGATTTGAACGAATTTGAATCTACACTACCTGAGGATGTTTCCACATAAGTTTCATCTTTCCTGGCACAGTGGTTCTTGAGAAGAAGATTTTTAAATGATGCCATTATTTTTTCACTAATTCCTAATTATCTCCCCTTGCAAGAGGGTGTGGCCCTTCATTTGAACAAACTTGAATCCCCTTTACCCAAGGATACTTTGTGGCAAGTTTGGTTGAATTTGGCCCAGTGGTTCTTGAGAAGAAGTCGAAAATGTGAAAGGTTTACAGAGGGATAGACGGAAGGACGGACAGATGGACGACGGACAAAATGTGATCAGAAAAGCTCACTTGAGCCTTCGGCTCAGGTGAGCTAAAAATATTATCTTACCTTTATAAGGGGTCAAAAAGTGACCCCATGGACCATCATTTTCAGAATCTACTTTTTGAGCTGAACCCAGAATCGAAAACTATTTAAAAATTTGTTGAAAATTTTTTAAAAAGTTAGCAGGAAAGGTCTGTTTTGGACATTGGTCCTTTAAAATCCCTTTTTTTTCAGAATTTTATTTTTGGAATCTAATTAGGTTGGGCCAATGTCAGAGTCATATTATACTTTGAATTTCACAAGAATACCTTGGTTACTTTTAGAGAAAACGTGCCATGCGAGTTTTCATTTTAACATAGTAATTCCCATAGACAATGTTTAAAGATTCATAAAACAGGAAGTACTGTTTGTATTGATACGAAACTTTCAGTACCCTTTAAATAATCTTTCCTTAGCATTACGTATTCTTCAGAATTAATTTCCTCCTTGATTTCTTGATTTTAAAATTTTTCATCCTCCCTTGTTTAAAGTTTGGAGTCTAATAACACAAAAAGTATTAAAGTTACGAAAACGCTTTCACTGATTTTTTTTTGTACCAGAAGGTCTTGTTTTCAAGAATCTATCTCTGAAATTTGGGAGAATTAATGGCTTTCAAAATAAGAAAGATTTCAGCTTCTTTTTGAATTTCAGTTTCTTTCTGATAACAGGTGTCGTAACTGGAAGTTCAAAACCTTACATATGGGAGATATTTGCATTTTCTATAAGGTGGTTTTAAACTAAAATGGATATATTCAAAGGGTCTTCTTAAATCCAAGGCCGAAAAGTGTTCAGAATAATAATAACAAAAAAAGATGAAAACAATAGGGCTGTTCACCAACAGTGGTCAAAAACCACATATGGCTGTCTGGAACCATTGAAAGGTAAATAAAGTATCAGGAATATAATATATGGTTAATTATCAGATGCTATTTTTAAAGTGGGGGGAAAGCATTAAATATAAGAAATAATACCCGAAGCGAGCAACAAAAAAGCAGCGGCGTAAATCGAAGGTTTTCACAATGCTTGGATCTGTAGCTCTCTGCCTTGTCTGTCCAAATTTTCTCAAGCAGAGAGCTAATTTGCAAGGTACATGTGTCATAAATCACAAGAAGTGCATATATTGTATAGTCACACTAAATTGTAGAACAATTTGCATTTTTACATCCTTTATGAGTTATGACACCTTGGGATCATTAAAGTGCCAAATAATATAATAAAATGCTTTAATATATATACATTTCACCAAATTTTTAAGTAAATCTTAAATCAGTGATACTCTGCTCATTACTCATTCAATCATGTCAGATGACAGAGAAAATATGACAGATTATTTTTATTAACAGCTGTATTGACTATAGCAAATGGAAATTTATCAACCTGTATGATAGTGCAAATGCTTGATTCCTGGAAATACATCCACTTTGAACTTCCATATAAAACAGTAGCATATTTTCTTGCTTACCACATGTGTATGGAAATTGAACTTTACAACACCATGCATGAAGAAACAACTATTATTCACTGACATTTTTTCATGTAAATATAAATGGATTCTAACAAGTAAAATTATAACCTTCTATTCTTACATGTATAAAATGCTGTATATGTAATCATTTTTACTGCGAATACTGAAAAGGCCTGTGAATTTGGCCACAATAGGAGTGAATTAGCAGTGCTTACTTTTGGAACTCTGGGTCATGTTCCTTGAGCAGCGTTTCCAACTCCTCAAGTTTATCTTCCTCTGCCTCAGAGTCACTGTCGGCATTCTCCGGGTGCTAAAAAATATCCAGCTAGTTCACTCTACTGATAAAGATGATAAACAGAAATATAGACTATTTTTCTGGAATATGTTACAAAACTGCAAATTTGATACTGAATTTTCTTTCTTCTTTCTTGTTGAATCATTTTGTATTTTAAGACACAAGTTAAAGTAAAAGAACTCAAAGTAATGCTAGTAATGTGTAATGCCAAAATATTTGCATTACATGGGTAATGGTAATGTAATGCATTACCTTTTCAAATACAGAGTAATGCTGACATTACATATAACATTACAAAGCATTATTTTTATATACCTATTTTAAAAATTTTAAAAATGGGCATGGAAATTATTTGTTTAGATTAAATATGTTTTAAATGATAGCAATGAATGAAAACAGTTAACCTGTTTAAAAAAAAAATCTCTGTATCTATTTACACTATCTACAAAATATATTCTGTTGAAAGTACAATTACCACACATTGAAATTTTTCATACTTATTTTAAATCATATTTAATTTCAGAGAATATTTAAACAAGAGGCCTATGGGCCACAATGCTCACCTGAGTTACTTTGGCCCTGCTGTTCTTCACAAGATCTCCCCTTTGTAATATTTATTGTGGCCCCGCCCTAACCCCGGGGGCCATGATTTGAACAATTTTGAATCTACACTATTCAAGGATGCTTCCACATAAGTTTCAGCTTTTCTGGCCCAGTGGTTCTTGAGAAGAAGATTTTCAAAGATTTTGCCTATGTATTTCAAAGTAAACTTTGATTCCTTATTGTGGCTCCGCCCTACCCCTGGGGGCCATGATTCGAACAATTTAGAATCTACACTACCCAAGGATGCTTCTAAATAAGTTTCAGCTTTTCTGGCCCTGTGGTTCTTGAGAAGAAGATTTTTTTAATGACCCCACCCTATTTTTGTCTTTTCTTGATTATCTCCCCTTGTAAGGAGGGTTGGTCCTTCATTTTAACAATTTAAACTCCCCTTCACCCAAGGATGCTCTGTACCAACTTTAGTTAAAATTGGCTTGGTGGTTCTTGCGAAGAAGTTGAAAATGTGAAAAGTTTACAGACGGATGAACAGACAGACAGACAGATGGAGGGACGATGGACAACAGGTGATCAGAAAAGCTCACTTGAGCTTTCAGCTCAGGTGAGCTAAAAAGTTTTTAAGAAATTGCATTTAAAAAATAATTCCAGTATGAGGTACACTAATTAATGTACAATGTAAACTGATAATTGTCATCTTTTGAATAAAGTGTCATCAAAACACATAATGCCTCAGGGGTCTAACAATTAAAACAATTTATTGTCTTGAGAAGTGCCCCAAAACCAATTAATGCATTTAATTTTTTTTTTCATGAGGTACTTGATCTAAACAATCTATGTCTTACTGAATGATTTAGATAGCTTTGGGGAGGGGTTATAGTGCCCCAAAAGTTTAATTGCCTTATGACATCAATAAATACACAAATGTACATATAATTGTACAAGTTTTTATCTTATTGGCAATTGAAAAGATTAAACTTCTTAAGAATAAAAAAAAGATATGCAAGTTATTTACAGTGTAATAAATACAAGTACTTGAAATTTGTTTTTTAAATATCATATCCTTTAATTAAGAATGATAAATTTAAATTAACATTCATCAAGTTTAGTTTTGATGGTGTGTGCATGTTTATGGAAAGCACAAGTTTTGTATTTCTATTTTTGAAAACCCCCCAAAAGTAATCATGGTAATTGTAATGCATTACTTTACTAAAGTAATAGTAATGTAATGCATTACTTTAAGAAATTAGAGTAATGGTAATTTAATATCCAAAGTCTTGAAGTAATGGTAATGTAATGCATTACTTTACAATGAATTCACCCCAAGCCTGGTATGCGAGTTAGTAAATCAGTTATTAATAAATATCTATTTAGAACGTACAATTTCTTTGTAGACTTCCCAGTCGGCATCATTTTGACCAAAAGTATCTTCTTTCTTTTTCTTGGATCCACCTGTTAAAATCATGATAAATTCCATCAAGCATTATGTACTAATACCTGGAAGTGCTAAAACATAAACATGGCCTGATTTAGTACAAATCTCTGTTAACCTTGGACTTTCAAAAGGGCATGGCATCTTCGACTCTGCATAATTAAGTGTCTCTCAATTGGTGACCTAGATTCTAATTGGTTGCTACATCTCAAAATTATTCATATCATAGTAACATTGCACAAACAAGTAGAATGATATCAGTTTGAATCATTTTGTATTATTTTCTACAATTACTGAAAAAAAATGCAAAATTGTGGAGTATTAATCATTTCTCTCCGTGTGTTGTTCGTCTAGTTTGCAAAAATTAGCATAGGTACTAGGTATTTGTATTTCAATGACATTTAATTTTGAATTGTTTTTTTTTCAGTGGCAATAAACAGTTCTTCACATGGGAACACTTTCAATGGAAACATTTTTAGGATCCTGCATAGCAGATGTAAATTTGGATGGTCAACAGATAATATTTAGGTTGCATAGAAGTCAGGCCCATAGCAACATTTTTCAATGTAAGGAGGTGGGGGGGGAGACATCCAAAAAATTGACAAAAATAAAAATAAAAATAAAAAAAAAAAGCCTAAACTGCCCCAAGTTCAACTGAAAAATGCTTAATTTAGCACATAATTAGACAGAATCTATCAACACTATATATATATATATATATATATTAGGGATGTCAAATCAGTCAATTTTTGATAATCTGTTACTCGGACGTTTTTCCAATCGAGTACCCAGGTACTTGGTGAAAATGTAAATACAAGAATTTTTAATTGTTAATTTGTTAAAACCCAAAGCTATTTTTATCACATTTGATGAATGTATATAAACATGGAGTCCAACGAAAATGATTTTGGTACTAAATTTATTTATTAAATAAACACAAATGACGCAATTAATAAATTAAAATTACAAATGGTTTACAGTTCTTGTTTAAGATGTATTTCATCAAAAGGACAATCTGTTATGCAGGTTTGTGATGATTAGACTAGCGAAAGAGAAGGAACGGGCGTTGTTTGGATCGCTGGTCTAATCTTTTTTTCATATGTTGGTTGTTTCCCCCGTATACACTAAACTTACTATGGAAACTGACTTTAAACATTTTTTGGAATCTTTACTTATTTTGAAGTAGGGGCATTTCTATGCATGTCTGATTTCGCTGTCATATATTAACTAAATACGTGGAAAATGATTTGAAGATAATAGACAATATTAAACGATGTTCACTGAAAAACAATCATTGAAGCAATAAAAAAAATTAAAGACCACGATAGGTGAGAACAGCTGTATACCAGGTGATAGGTCACTAATTACTGTATATACACAGCTATAGGCGATAACGGGTGTTTACATGTGTAGATGACGACACGCTTATTACCCGTATGCATATTTAAGTTTTTTTTGATAAGTTTTTGATAAAAATATGTACTTTAAAATGAGAAAAAATACACATCCGAGTAACCGAGTACCATTTTTAGTATTCGATACTCGGACGTTCGATCGAGTACCCGGTTAACCGGGTACTCGTTGACATCCCTAATATATATATAATTATATATATATATATGTGTGTGTGTGTGTGTGTGTGTGTGTGTGAGGGTGTGTGTGTGTGTGTAAGGGTGTGTAAGGGGGTGTGTGCGTGTGTGTGTGAAATACTTCGCAGGCCCGTAAGAAGCAATTTTAGTTGGAATGGGGGGGGGGGGGGCACAATCATACATTTTCATTTGGGGAGGGGGGTTACTATCAACTACCAAAAATTCCTTGACAAGCAAAAAAAAAAACATAGGTAATCAGAGATTACAGAGCTCACCTCAACCAATGTTGTCTTTAAGTCCCACACAAAACTAATAATCTAGGAGTGTGCATCCCTAGATGCAACATTTATGAAATTTTGGTCTGATAGGGCTCGCAGTTACTTGGAAATAGACTTATCTAAAAATTTAAAACTATTCACTCATCCAGAAAATGTAAGTCAAATCCAGCATCTGAAGCAAGTTTGAGATTGTTCGTCCCTTGATGCATCATCCATGCGAGTTTGGTTCAGATAGGCCTTATAGTTACTTAGAAATGAGATCTGCTCCAAAAACTTTTACCTGGTTACTCATCCGGAAAATGTGGGTCAGATCCAGCATCGGAAGCAAGTCCAGTAGTGTGCATCCTTAGATGTATCATCCATGCAAGTTTAGTCAATACAGGGCTTATAGTTACTTGGAAATGACATCTGCTCCAAAAACTTTAACCTGGTCACTCATCCGTAAAATATAGGTCAGATTCAGCATCCGAAGCAAGTCCAGTAGTGTGCATCCTTAGATGTATCATCCATGCAAGTTTGGTCAATATAGGGCTTATAGTTACTTGGAAATGAGACCTGCTCCAAAAACTTTAACCTTCTCCAAAAACTTGAACCTGCTCCAAAAACATTAACCTGCTCCAAAAACATTAACCTGGTCATTCTTTAGCTGAAATTGCAGCATCTGAAACCTTGACTGGTACAATGAAACACACTAGAAGCATCCTCCATGCATCTCTGACTAATATAGGCCATAGAAGTACTTGAAAAGAAAACTGCTCCAAAAACCTTAACCTGGGACGCCAACGGTATAACATAAGCTCCCCCAACTTCGTTGAGGTGAGCTAAAAAGGTCATCAGATGTTTTTATTGAGGGGGCATGAGCATAAGAAAGGTCATCAGACATTTTTATTGAGGGGGCACAATTATATAGTAGCTTTGTTTTCTATAGTATTCTATATATCGGCAAAATTATGAGGGGCACGACACCCCTGTGCCCCCCTTTCCCAGTTCCTATGGCCATGCCTCGAATTTAACATTTCAATATCTCTACCTAAAATTATTACAACTTTAATTTTTTTTTTTACTTTTCAAGAGGGCTATCGTTGTGTATGTAATGATTTGCAACTATTTCCTGTAAGTCTAGTCATATTAAAAGGTCATTGAAAGGACTAAAGTGGCTTTCAGTTGAAAATGGTTAATGTTGATACTTCCATCTGACGAAAAAAATCTGTTTCTAAGTTTCAGTATAAATCTTAGATCTAGTCACACTTATTTAACCTATACGTACTGCATACACATCCATACTCCCCTCTCCCCGATCTCTTACCATGGATTTCCTAAAGATGTACACTTCTATTTTAATTACAATGAAATAGTGTGCTCTCATATTTTTGAATTTGATATGAAAGTCTGTCAAATTACGTACTAGAATGACAAACTGAAATTTACACAGCTTTTCATTCATGGGTGAAATAGACTTGGGATAGAATGTCAATGAGTGTAGCAAGAATCCAATGACAGTGTTTCTTACTATAAAGAGGTGGGGCTTAAGTCATCTCATCGTTGTCAACAACAATCTAAAGTTGCAGATGTTATTAATTTCTTAACTAGATCACCATTTGACAGACGGTAATTATTTAGAATGCCATGCCCTACGGAAAGTCCAAGGCTAACAGAGATTTGTAATATTACAAAGAATCAAGCGTCATGTACCAGAGACTAGTTGTGTGATCATTTTCATCCTTTGTTGTGAGGCATAAGTCCTTCTCTTGGCCAGGTCTGCCTTCCTCTGCTTTTTTGCATTACGAATCTCCATAAGTTTCTGTTAAGATTGCATTGTTACAGGTATCATATTCACATAGTGCTAAATACAATGTTTAAGATGCATGTAGTAAATTTATCTCTGCATGTTTTTGTTTGTAAACTAAAACATAAATAATACTGACCTCTATAAAATATAATTTTAGTTTGACTCACCCTTCTTTTCTCTCTGATTAAATGTAACCAACCATCAAAATCTTTCAGTCTTCTCTGCTCAAGTTTCCTTTCTTCTTCCATTTCCTTACAAAAAAAATCCAGTCATGTAGGGGCTCACTACTCTTTTTCACAATTACTTCTTAATTATTTTTCTAATTTGGACATTCATAACACAACTGGCCCTATCTGCAATAAACAGTAATGTGCAAATACAAGTGCATGCTTTGCACACCCAAAGCAAACCCAGAACAATTGTTTGTTGCCTAGTATTTTAACTGTTTCTTGATTGAATGATTAAAATTTCTTAAGTAGAACAGCTATAATATCTAATAAGGTGAAGATTTTCCCATTATACAATGCTTGATACAATGATTCATCAATTTATACTTCCCATTTAAGAAAGATCCATGCAAGCATCAGTTTTGCACCATGCAACTAATGACAAAATATGCTATTTGTGTTTTAAACTTATACTCTGATGTTGGTCTGTAATTTCTACTCTTTTGTCAGGATGTGTAATTTCTACCTGTTTGTCAGTGTATGTAATTTCTACTTGTTTCTCAGTGAATGTACAAGGGTCATTCAATAAATAATGCAACATATAGTGTATAATAATAAATGTAGAAGTATTTATATTCATTTTTATACGGTTGAAAAGTCTTATTTAAGAGTTTCTAAGCACAGTGCCCCATGATTTTTCCTATTGTCCTTGCAAAAAAATTCACTTAAAGTAAGCATGGTCACTACACTGAGCTCAAACTGTTTAAAAATGATATCTGCCAAGATGAACAAAAACAAGAGGCCCATGGGCACATTGCTCACCTGAGCACATTGGCTAGAAAGAAGCAGAAATCAGAAGCAGAAATCAGTTCAGTATTGAACAATGATGGAGGGCAGGGGGGACAAACTAAAATTTACACTACCTCAGCATGCTTCCATTTCAATATTACTAATTAATTACTTTCCTATGTAACTGACCCCATCCTTGATCATGGCTTTGCTGTTCAGAAGCAAACAGAAGAATTTTAAAGATTTTTCCCCCTAGTATTCCTATGTAAAACTCTGATCAATCAGTGTGGCCCCACCCTACCCACCCTTAATTTGAACAAATTTGAATCTACACTACCTGAGGATGCTTCTATAATAATATGACTAATCATGGCTTTGCTGTTCTTGAGCATAAGATTTTTTCAAGATCATTTCTATATATTCTTACGTAAAATTTTTACCCTCTTTTGTACCCCCCCCCCCCAACCCCCTGGGGGTCATAGTTTGAACAAACTTGATTCTACAATACCTAAGGTTGCTTCTGTATAAATATGACTAATAACTGGTTAGTTGTTCTTGAGAAGAAGATTTTAAAGACATTTCCTATGTAACGTGTATGATCAGATTCTTACAAGGGATATATAAATTTTCCTTAATGATTGGAATGATTATTAAGACAGCTCTGTCTGAGGGTATATCACACAGTACTTAAATTTTCTCTTATCTACAGATGGGGGCTGGGTAAGGTACTACTTGCACCATGTTTCTCCCCTAAGTTCCCATTGTTAGATAAGAACCAGGTGTCTCAATCTTCTTCAGATTTACTACACCCAGACCTTAACAAAAAATCCCTAGGATGCTTGCCACTGGTGTTTATAACTTTTATACTTTCATTTTGCTCTTACACTTAAGGTTTTCCATCCTCTATCCTTAAATGTCCATCACATACATAATACTCTGATATTAATTTAGAGCATTGTACAGTAGAAAAGGGTTTACCAAAAGAAAGTTTCAAAAATGTAAATAACTAGTAGTAATTAATTAACAAAGATTGCATTGAAGTCTATGGGGACGAGCGATTTTTCAGAAATAAAAATTCAAATAATAAGAATATCAATAAATACTTTGGTGGAAAGATGCATTAAAACACATTAGAAATAGAATGACAATTGAAAATGATTTTTTTTACCAGACAAGTCTTTTTTTTTTTTTTTTTTATCATTATCATTGTTTTTTTTTTATCATTAAAAACAAAGGAGATCTATAACTCTTACCAAAATTCAAGGTCATATATTAGGACACATCCCATCCTAACATGGTAATAGTAAAAATGGGAATTATGTCTAAATCTACTCAGTATTCAACACCTACACATCTGTTATGTATTCAAGTTCATTAAATCTGTTGCTATTAGGGATGGAATACCTTAACTTCTTTCTTCCTGATTAAACATCCAACTTCTCAGCTAGCTTCTGAATGCCTGACATTCCCAAAGCTTTGCCTTATATACCTTTGGTTTTGCTAGTCCATTCCTAGGGTTGTCAGGTCATTCCATTATTTGAAGTCTTCAATGCATTTCACTCAAATGGCCCTTAACCATTATACCTATATATTCCTATGTAAAACTTTGACCTACTGCTGTTGCCCCACACTACCCCCAGGGGTCATGATTTGAACAAACTTGAATCTACACTACCTGAGGATACTTCTGTAATAAATAAATTAATATGACTAATAATGGCTTAGCTGTTCTTGAGAAGAAGATTTTTATGCTTCGCCATGAATATGGCTCGGGCATATAGTGTTTGTCATGTCCGTCTTCTGTCCTCCCATCTGTCTTTCCGTCGCGCTTTGCGTTTAGCTCTGTTCAAAGCTCAATTTCAAAGAAACTATCCAAGATATTTTTATCAAACTTCATATGCTGATAGATATTGATGAGAGCTATGCAACTGCATCAACATTTTTTTACCTTGACCTTTCCTTTGACCTTGACCTCACTTTTCTTAAATAAGTGTTTAGCTCAGTTTTAAAGATACCATTCAAGGTAGTGTAATCAAACCTCATATGTTGATACATACTGAAGTAAGCTATTCAACTGCATCAACATTTTTTTAACTTGACCTTTCCTTTGACCTTGACCTCACTTTTCTTAAATAAGTGTTTAGCTCAGTTTTAAAGATACCATTCAATACAGTGTTATCAAACCTCATATGTTGATACATACTGATGAGAGCTATTCAACTGCATCAACATTTTTTGACCTGGACCTTTCCTTTGACCTTGACCTCACTTTTCTCAATTTGTGCTTACCTCAGTTTTAAAGAAATCATTCATTATAATATTTTTATCAAACTTCATATGCTTACACATAATGATGTAACCTTTTCAACTGCATCAACATTATTTGACCTTGACTTTTCCTTTGCCCTTAACTTCATTTATTTTAAATTAGTATTTCGCTCAGTTTAAAAAAAAAACATTCAAAATATTTTTATCAAATATAAATATGCTGATACGTATTTGTGAGAAGTATTCAACTGCATCAAAAACATTTGATCTTGAACTTTTCTGTGACCTTGACCTCACTTTTTTTAGATTTGCATTTTGCTTAATTTTAAAGAAACCATTTGAGATATATTTAAGTAAGTTTATGCACTTACACATAATTTGGTGAGAATTTATCATCTATATCCAACTTTTTAGATTTCAATTTGAATTTTTGAGAAACTATTCAAAATATTCTCATCAAATTTCATACACTAATACAAATTTTCATGTTGCATCACTAATATACCCTCGGTGGGGCATTCATGTCCTATGGACATATTTCTAGTTAAAGGTATTTCCTATATATTCCTATGGTAAACTTTGACCTCCTGTTGTGGTCTTGCCCTACCCCAAAGGGGTCATGATTGGAACAAACTTGAATCTATGCTATCTGAGGATACTTCTGTTATAATATGACTAACCATGGCTTTGCTGTTCTCGAGAAGATTTTCAAAGACATTTCCTATATATTCCTTTGTAAAACTTCGACCCCCTCTTGATGCCCCACCCTACCCCCGGGGGTTATGATATGAACAAACTTGAATCTATATATGCAATGAAGCTTTCACAGAAGTTTCATCTTTTCTTGCCCAGTGGTTCTTGAGAAAAAGATTTTTAAAATGCCACCAAATTTTCAAGAATTCTTAATTATCTCCCCATTGAAAAAGGGCACATCACTTCCTGTGAACAAACTTAAATCCCCTTCACCCAAAGATGCTTTGTGGCAAGTTTGGTTGAAATTGGCCCAGTGGTTCTTGAGAAGAAGTCGAAAATGTGAAAAGTTTACAGATGACAGAAGACAGACGGATGCCGAACACTCTTTGATCAGAAAAGCTCACTTAAGCCTACAGCTCAGGTGAGCTAATGAGAGCCTATGTGAAAACTGCTTCTTTACAAAAATCTTCAAAGAACTCATATTAAATATATGATTTTTATATGTGGAAAGAATAGCCTAGAAAACTGTACAGTTTTCAGATGGATTCAGAAATTCAAAAGTGAAAAAGTAGAGTTAAAATTTAGCAGTCAGACTGGTTGATTGAAATCTGTAGAGACACCAAAAAATACAGTTGCTGTGTGCAACATGATATCTGAAAATGCTAGATTTACACTGAAAGACATTGCTAAGACACTAAACATTTCATCATCGCAACATTTTATAAAATTCTGACAAATGAAATGAATATACAGTTGAAGTTCGGTATCTGGAACACTGACATCTTGAATACCATGGATATGTTGAAGTGATTTGGAAGTCCCAAACCCTTATTCCTTAAGTATTTTAACCTGGATATCTCAATTCCTTGGATATCTTAAAGTTTTTTGGGGGGTCCCATTGAGTTAGAGAAAACGAGGTTTGACTAAATAATATTTCTGTTGTCAGAAAGGTGCCTTATTTTCTTACAAATGCCTAAGAGAAAACACACGTTAAATGTGCCAACGGTCTATTTAAAAAAATATATATAAATAAAATAGAAGATTTGATAACTTTCATCATGGATGATGAAACATGGGTGCACTTTTTATAGCCGAAAAGGAAGATCAATAATAAAATGTGGAATGAAAGACTAGAGTGTTCCAAGGAACGCATGTGTCGCCTGCTTTGTAGCTTCTTTACAGGTGTAAATAAATCTAAGAGTGGTCAGCTTTTCACTTACAATAAGCATGATATACTGATAGTTCATGCATTTGCCTGCAAAGAAAAAATGGCATCCATGGATAGTATAATTAGACTGTGATATAATCTGACAATCAAAGAAAACATGGTACCACAACCCTCAAATGAATAATTAAATTGAAATTATTAGAAATAACTATTTGTCATTTTTTTAAAACATGTTTCCAACAATCCTCCAAAAGAGATTTCAGTCTGTCTTTACTGCAATTGTCAGTCTACAAGATCCATTGTTTAATACTGATCCCAATGCATTTTTATTGTATTTAAATATGTTTGTGTGGTAACAGAATAGCATACAGTTTCAAAGTACTTTTTCAAAAGCTAAGCATGTTTCCAATAATCATTCAAAAGAAATTTCAGTCTGTCTTTACTGCAATTCTCAGTCTACACAATCCAGTGTGGAATACTGATCCCAGTGTATTTTCACAGTATTTAAATATAGGTTTGTCTGGTAATTGAATATCATACAGTTTCAAAATACAGTATTATGAGCTCATAAACATGTATAAATGCTGATTATCTAAACCCTGCCTCTCAAAATTCAAAAGTCATAAGTTTAATTAAACTGCCCGAGATATTTTTGCAAAGTAGGTCAAAGGTCAACATCAAGTGGATTGTAATGCTGGTATTTTTCATATTATCTTATGACAAACAGTGCAGATGCTAAATAGCATAGACTTGAATGTCAAAAATATGCTGTATATCGGCACTGTGAAATATTTTGAAAAGTAGGTCAAATTTCAAGGTCAAAGGTAACGAGGTAACCATGGTAATTTACAAAATCCATAGTGCCAAGCATTAGATATGCAAAATATCAAATCCATATCTCTTACAGTTCTTGAGATATAGGGTGTGACAGATGGAGAAGATAGACAGACATGTGTAAACTGATCCCTTAGTGCAGCTCTGCTCTGCAGGTGACACAAAAAAGCTGCCGTCTTATTACCAAGGTTTGTAAAGAGAAGTAAGGGCTCCAAACATGCTTTATTAGTTTTCACTTTTTTCAAGAGGTCCAGAAAAATGTATACATACACCCAAATGAAGGACCATCAATGGTAACTTTTGTGTTCAAATTGTACTAAGGAAAGTTAAACAGATTTCCTGCAAAGGAAGTCCAAATACCGGTCCCCAGGGTAATTTTCCTGTATCTGACAACACTGCTGCAAATAAGCATAAAGAAATAAATGAAATTTTGAAGAAAAGAAAGTTTACAGAGTTTTGCCATTCACCATACTTGCTAGATCTTAGCAATAGTTAGATCTTTTTATTCCAAAAATGCATGAAAACAATCAAAGGAAGATTGTACAATATCGATATTCTTCAGTGTCTTTGGGGCATCCCTAGAGATAAAATATGCTGAGGTTTTCTGGTCATGGGTACAAAGAACCAAGATATGTGTAAAGAGTAACAAGGAATACTTTGAATGATTGAAAATATTAAGAATATGTATTACATGTAGTTATACTTTTCTTATTTTAAGATGACCTTTTGCATCATTAATTGAACGGCCCCTCCTTATTTTTACTTCTTTGTCAATGCATGTAAAATTTTTACTTTTTTGTCAGAGTGTTTAATTTCTGTATCTTTGTCAGTGTATTGTATGTTGGTATATGTATTTCTAATTGTTTGTCAGTGTGTGTAATTTCTATTTGTTTGTCAGTTTATGTAATTTAATTCTCATGATATGTTGGAGTATGTAATTTCTACTTGTTTGTCAGTGTACTGTACAGCAGGTTAATATCGCGGTCGGAAAAAATCGCGATTTCTTCAATTTTCAGCAAATTGCGATCGTTTGAATTCGTGATAAAGAAAAATTATACAAACTTTTTTTCAGCACTGTAATCCTTGCATATTGTGTCGATTCTGAACCCAATTAAATAGAACAAAACACCGTACTGATCCCGATTGGAATACAAAATATGGTACGATTCACAATGTTACACATTCAGATAAATTTTCTTCTTTCTTTCTCTTGTTTTTTCTTCTTTCTTTTTATTAAATATTTTTGAAATATGTTTCAGTCTACACTCAAGTAATTAATTAAGTGATTTCAAGTATCTTGAAAATCCAAACCTAAAACATTTATGTTAAAAAAAAAAGTGTATGTAATTTCTACTTGTTTGTTAGTGGGTGTAATTTCTATTGTTTGTCAGTGTATGTAATTTCTTATCATATGATGATGTATGTAATTTCTAATTGTTTGTAATTGTAAATTATTTTTACTTGTTTGACAGTATATGTAATTTCTACTTGTTTATCAGTGTATGTAATGTCTCATTATATGTTGGAGTATGTAATTTCTACTTACTTGTCAGTGTGTGTTATTTCTTATTGTTTGCCAGTGTATGAAATCCCTCATTATATGTTGGTGTATGTAATTTCTACTTGTTTGTCAGTGTATGTACTTTCTATTTGTTTATTAGTATATGTAATTTCTAATTGGGTGTCAGTGTATGTAATTTCTACTTGTTTGTCAGTGTATGTAATTTCTACTTGTTTATTAGTGTATGTAATTTCTATTTGTTTGTCAGTGTATGAAATTAATAACTGTTTGTCAGTGTGTGTTATTTCTTCTTGTTTGTCTGTGTTTGTAATTTCTACTTGTATGTCACTGAATGTAATTTCTATGTGTTTGTCAGAGTTTGTCATTTTTATTTGTTTGTCAGTGTGAGTAATTTCTGTGTTTGTCAGTGAATGTATTTTTTTGCTTTTTTGTTAGTGTGTGTGTAACTTCAATTTGTTTGTCAGCATGTGTAATTTCTACTTGTTTGTCAGCATGTGTGTTTTCTACTTGTGGGTGTATGGAATTTGTATTTGTTTCAGTGCATGTAATTTCTACTTGTTTGTCAGTGTATGTAATTTCTATTTGTTTCTCAGTGTATGTAATTTCTACTTGTTTTTCGGTGTGTGTATTTTCTACTTCTTCGTAGGTGTATGTAATTTCTATTTGTTTGTAAGTGTATGTAAATTTCTACTTGTTTCTCAGTGTATGTGATTTCTACTTGTTTGTCAGTGTATGTAATTTCTAAGTGCATTTTCTACTTGTTTGTCAGTGCGTGTTACTTCTTTTTTGTCAGTGATTGTAATTTCTATTGATTGGCAGGGTGTGTATTTCCTACTATATGTCGGTTCTATTTGTCAGTGTGTAATTTCTACGTGTTTGTCAGTGTGAGCAAATTTCAACAGGTTTGTCCATGTATGCTATTTCTTCTTGGTTGTCAGCGTTTCTTATATTCACTTGTCTGTCAGTGTTTCTTTTTTCCACTTATCTGTCAGTTGTTCTTATTTCCACTTGTCTGTCAGTGTTTTTTATTTCCACTTGTTGGTCAGTGTTTCTTATTTCCACTTGTCGTTCAGTGTTTCTTATTTCCACTTGTCTGTCAGTGTTACTTATTTTCACTTGGTTGTCAGTGTTTCTTATTTCCACTTGCCTGTCAGTGTTTCTTATTTCAACTTGGTTGTCAGTGTTTCTTATTTCCACTTGTTTGTCTGTGTTTCTTATTTCTACTTGTTTGTCTGTGTTTCTTATTTCCACTTGTTTGTCAGTGTTTCTTATTTCCTCTTGTTTGTCAGTGTTTATTGCCCCCAACACTACTTGCATTTTATTTTGTGTGAGGTAGATTATTTTTGTTTAGATAATTAGGTTGTATAGGGTAGCATATTGGAATACTTAGTATGTCTTATTGTGGGTTTAGCCCATAGTATTAACTCTAGTGTTTTGGCTTGTTTTGTGGCCTGCTGGAATCAGCCCCAGGCTTTATGCACTCCTGGGATCAGCCCGGAGTGTTGGTTGGTTCAAGCCTTTAGGGATCAGCCCTAGGCTTTGTATCTTGTCGAGCATCCTCTTGGGATCAGCCCAGAGGTTATCTCAGAGTTCGACACTAATATTTTTAGGCTTTAGTCCGACCGGACAAGTGCTTCTTTACTTCTACTAATCCACACCAGGAAGAACGATCATATTCCCACTTTCATTCTTTTTTCTCTATTCATTACATTCAAAACGTCCGACATCTTTCTTTATGTGTCATACTAATTCATGTTCACTAAAATGTTTGATTTCATATCAATCAGTCCTAAAATTAAGCACCGAATTGACTCGGAATTTTCTAATTACCACCAAGAAACTAGAAAGCTAAAAATACATGCGGGGTTTTCCAGTAAAGTTGTCGAGAATCGAACATTGGTAATTTATTCATTTTGTTTTCCAGAAATTTTTATTGGTCCATTAGAACTAATTAGCCACCGATTTTATTATTTCAAATGAAAATGTATTAGTCTGAGACCGGTCTTGTGGCCTGCTGGGATCAGCCCCAGGCATGCACTCCTAAGATCAGTGGTTGGTACATGCCTTCAGGGATCAGCCCAAGGCAGGATTCTGGCTTGTGTACATTAAGGATCAGCTCAGAGTGACAATAATTAGTGATCGCTTTTAGGACTAGGCAGGAAAGGTAGAGAAAGTAATGAGTAGCCCCCAGAGCACCAAAAATATGAGTTTTTGAGATGTACATTTTGTATACATTTTTCTGTGTGTTCAAGTGTTTTATATATATGTATTACTGAAATGTTAGACATTAAACCAACTGAACTCTTAAAACCTTGTTTTGTTTGTGTATAAATAAATCAGTATGTGTTTAATTTTGTATATCCATGTATTTATAATTATACTTGAATGTTTACCTGTTGGTGTAATACTTTAATTAGTATGGATGTAACTAATATTATTATTTGATTATGTGTTTAATTCTTATTCTATGTAATATGTGTATAAGTCTTACTTGAATGGATTGATGTGATCATCTGTATGTGTCATTCTTATTGAATTTCAGGATGTGTAATTCATAACTGTATGTCAGTGTGTACACATATTATATGTCAGTGTTTAAGTATTTCCTACTTTTTGTTGCTTTTCCCTCTGGATTGCCTGGGCCTTCATGCGTCCCTCTCGGGCGTTTTTAAGCATTCGCTGTCTCTTCTTGATGGATATTTGATCTGGTGTTAACTGATCATCAGGTATGTCAATCATATCATAAACTGCTGGCTTCTTAGTCTGTCAAAAAAAAAAACATGTAAATCTTCATTACAACAAATTAAAATTAGAGGCCCTTGGGCCAAAATGCTCACCTGAGAAACTTTGGCCCTTCTATTCTTCATCTGCAGATTTTTTCCCTATATATTCTTATGTAAAACTTTTAATATATTGTAGTCAAACCCTATCCCAGGGAGGATTTAAACTATCTTGAATTTTCAATGCCTGAGGATGCTTCCACATGAATATGACTCATCATATTTTTACTGTTCTTGAGAAAAAGATTTTTCAAGATTTTTTTTTTTATAATTCACATGTAAAACTTTTGAAGAAGTCGAAATCATGAAAAGTTAACAATGACAAATACAAATTTTGATAAGAAAGCTACAAATATTTATAAGAATGAAAGAAAAAGTGAGCAAGCTCACATACCCCACGCTCCCCCAAAACTCGACAATGCAACATGTAATGAATTGCACAGTGCATTTTAAATACACAGTATAATTCAAAAAGGGGCATTACTTGCAAAAAATCATCATATCAAAACTTCTTGCATATAAGGACATTCATATCTTTGTATGTTACAAATTTAATTGGGCTGAAGTTTCTAGATAAATAATGGAATCAAAATTTCTTGGTAATAAATAAATCTATACATTACATTTGTATGTATGAAATACCTACAAAGTTTCAGGAAATTCAGTGCAGGAGTTGTGCTGACAAACTGTTATTTAAATTCCTAAGTGATTTTGATTTGTTAATGAGTGTAAGTCCATGTCCAACACATGACAATTTACACATTTAAATAATTAATGGAAACAAAATTATGATGTAGTCATATGAATTTGTTTATATACTGTACTTATGAAATTATTTAAGGCAAAGCACCAATTTGGGTTTGGGGGGGGGGGGTGTTTGGGGGGGGGGGTGTGAGAACTATCCTAGATTTTGTGTGTGTATGTGTGTTAAATCATTAATATTTTGATCTCAAAATCAATAGGGTCTTTCAAGGTCATAAACTATTTCACATAAAATTTCATTACAAAAGCTGATTCCAGTGGATTTCCTTATTACCTAGTTGAAAGGTGCCGAAATTCCCAGAAAAATAAAGGAATCAGAATTTCCTGATAATATGCACATCTACACACTGTGTACTAAATATCTGCAAATTTTGACCAAATTCTGTGCAGCGGTTTAAGAGGAGTTGGGCTGACAATCTGTTCATCTCTATATTCAAGATATGGCCAAAAATCTAAGTTGAAAAGTGCCGAAATTCCCAGAAAAATAATGGAATTGGAATTTCCTGGTAATATGCACATCTACACACTGTGTACTAAATATCTGCAAAGTTTGACGAAATTCTGTGCAGCGGTTTAAGAAGAGTTGCACTAACAATCTTCATCTCTATATTCAAGATATGGCCAAAGATCTCAGTTTAAAAGTGCCGAAATTCCCAGAAAAATAATGGAATCGGAATTTCCTGGTAATATGCACATCTACACATTGTGTACTAAATATGTGCAAAATTTAACCAAATTCTGTGCAGCGGTTTAAGAGGAGTTGCACTGACAAACTGTTCATTTCTATATTCAAGATATGGCCAAAAATCTAAGTTGAAAAATGCCGAAATTCCCAGAAAAATAAAGGAATCAGAATTTCCTGGTAATATGCACATCTTCACATTGTGTACTAAATATCTGCAAAGTTTGATGAAGTTCTGTGCAGCGGTTTAAGAGGAGTTGGGCTGACAATCTGTTCATCTCTATATTCAAGATATGGCCAAAAATCTAAGTTGAAAAGTGCCGAAATTCCCAGAAAAATAATGGAATTGGAATTTCCTGGTAATATGCACATCTACACACTGTGTACTAAATATCTGCAAAGTTTGACGAAATTCTGTGCAGCGGTTTAAGAAGAGTTGCACTAACAATCTTCATCTCTATATTCAAGATATGGCCAAAGATCTCAGTTTAAAAGTGCCGAAATTCCCAGAAAAATAATGGAATCGGAATTTCCTGGTAATATGCACATCTACACATTGTGTACTAAATATGTGCAAAGTTTAACCAAATTCTGTGCAGCGGTTTAAGAGGAGTTGCACTGACAAACTGTTCATTTCTATATTCAAGATATGGCCAAAAATCTAAGTTGAAAAATGCCGAAATTCCCAGAAAAATAAAGGAATCAGAATTTCCTGGTAATATGCACATCTTCACATTGTGTGCTAAATATCTGCAAAGTTTGATGAAGTTCTGTGCAGCGGTTTATGAGGAGTTGCACTGACAAAAAAACAGGACTGACGGACTGACTGACCGACACAATGACTGACTGACGGACGGACAGGTCAAAAACATTATACCTCACGCAACTTGTTGCGTGGGATATAAAAACTCACTTTAGCCTTCGGCTCAGGTGAGCTAGCTTAAAAAAGACTATTTTCATGATTTTTTGCCTGCCCAAGTCTAATGAATGTAAAGAAAAATTTTCCTTAATCTTCCTTTGTTTTAAATTGTGCATCCAAAATGCCACAAATTACACCGTACAAACACTGTCAATAACCCATTTATTACTTTTAATATCTAACAGGTTTAATAGATGCAATAATTGAGCCATTTTGAAAGCAAAGTTGAAACTTTGCTTGGTCAGAATTGACAATTACATCAGAGCAAAGGCACATAGTATACAGTTATGGAATGGGTATGAGGGAAATAGCAAATTTATGGTTCCCCGGGGGAGGAAACTATTTCCCGAGGCGGCGAAGCAGCTGAGGGAAATAGTTTCCTGCCGAGGGTAACCATAAATTTGCTATTTCCCGAGTACCCATTCCATAACTGTTTTATTATACCGAAACAAACAAAGGAGATTTATTAACTAGAGACTTAGACATTTTTAAAACAATATAGAGGCATTTATATAAATAATCAAAAATGCATGTGATTCCAATTTTGTTAAATATATAATGCATCAAAATGGAAAAAATAAAATTATTAAAAAAAATAATAATAATTTCACTGACATTTCGAAGGATTATCGTTGTCCTCTTTATGTTTAGAAATTCCAGTATGATTTTGACATCGCATGTCAAAATGTTTTGACGTCATAGTTACATTGCTAATAACATTACGTCACGGACTCGAGATTCCTTGAACGCTCCGCCCACTGTTCATTTTAATTGGTTTAAATTAATAATAAATATTCATGAGGGAGTAGTCCCAGGGAGTAGCTCTGATTTTTCAGGGAGTAGTCCTCAGATGGGGGAAATAGTATCTTCTCGGGAAAATAGACAGTTTTATGGTATTAATTTTATATAGAGTAAAAACAGTAGAGGTATAATAATACTGGTTATCAAATTATGCATATATAGTGAGAAATTCAAATTTTGAATCACTGAAACACTAAAAATATTAATTTTTTAGCAAAGAAATTTAAATGGATGATTTAATAAGCATAAATATCTAAAACTCTAGTCTAATAAGTTAAGTTTCATTCATTGGTGTAAGAGGAGTTGCAGATAAGGGATGGTTAGCCATAAGTGTAACGGACAGATAGAAGTACAGTTGGACACCCCCATCACTACAAACCCTGCAATTTTCAAGCAGGAGATACAATAAATGACAATAGTCAATAGCACCAAGAAAAAAATCCTTGAGATATCAGAGAATTCAAGATACTAAAGTCAAAAATACATAGAGAAGAAAGTGGTTAGCAATTTCAACTCACTGGACATATCAATGGTGTTCAAGATCTCAATAATTAAGATACTGAAGTTCAACTGTTTTGAAACAAAAAAGGAGTGTGATATTACCTCTTCATCAAAAGGAAGATTGACACCTTTGATTTTAGCTTTCATTCTCTGTATAGACATTGTTAATTTGGTGATCTCCACCTGTAATTCTTCAGCTGTCTCAAATGGTAGTGAGGAAAGGGCCCTCTGTGAATACAATCTTAGACTAAGGAAACTTCATGTGATTGGTTTTAAGACAGGTGAAATAAATAAACACTTAATTTATTGACAAGCATGATCACAAATTAACAACGACGGACCTAATTCATTTCTGCAATAGATTTTTTATTCAAATTTTAATATGAGGTAATGTGACTTTTGGCGAGTTAAAATCAATAAAAAAAAAAATCATATGGTCATCGATGTATATTTTTAATGGGGAGCATTTCAAAAGTTGGCAATGGAAATCAATAATTACTATAGGAAGTAATGGGAAATTGCTAGTGTAGAGTATAAGAGTGATCATTGAAAAAAAATTCTGCAATAGAATTTTTATTCACATTAAAGGACAATGTTAACAAGACAATTTACCAGCAAATTATGCCAAAAAATAAATGGGTCATTGGCTTAGATTTTTCAGGGGGGCATGTCAAACTCAGGTATAGGGCACATTTTGGGGAAATTTTCAATGAAAATACCTTGGCTGAATAAATCATTTATTTATAAAATCAACAAAGAAATATAAATCGAAATATTTACAATATTTTTGAATTGAGAGGATATGTTTGAATATCTTTAAAATAATTAAAAATGTGTATTTTTTTATCTTTTGCAATACATAATTAAGTCAATATGATTCAAGGCATATGCGCGGTTTTCTGCACAGTGGCGTGAAATTTTGAATTAGGTCCGTCGTCCTTAATACATATTTCTATTTGGTTTGTATAATTGGAATTCTTTGTCTTATTTGTCACATTATTGATACACCCTTGTCTATTTATACATACATTGAATGCTTCATCATCTTCATCTTCTAGAAGCTCCTGAACACTGATAAGTTCCATTAACTTTTCTTCTTCTATCTGAACCTGTTCAATAATAATGTTCAGATACAGCCAATAAAGAAAACATAGGTAATCAAATATTACGAAGCTCACCTCGACGAATGTTATCTATAGGTAAGGCAAATTTCACATCATATTTTTTTTTTCTAGTTACATTTTTGTAGTACATCCCAAGATCAATATCCATGCAACTTTGGTTTAAGTAGGACTTATAGTTACTTTGAAATAGACCTGCTCAAAAAACTTTTAACCTGTTTACTAATCAAGAAAATTTTGGTCAGTTCAAACATTCAAAGCAGGTCTGGAAGTTTTCATCCTTAGATGCACCATCTATGCAAGTTTAATCATAACAGGCCATAATATTGTATAGCTACTCCAAAAAATTACCCTGGTCACTCATCTGGCAAATGTAGGTCAGATTCAGAATCCAAAGCAAGTCTGGAAGTGTCCATCCCTAGATACATCATCCATGCTCATTTGGTTAAAATATGGCTAAAATTCACCTATGTGGAAAATCTAAGTCCGATTCAGCATCCGAAGCAGGTCATCCTCGCAAGCCAGGGGTCCTGAGTCAACACATTGCCGTTGGACCCCTGGCATATTTCATTCAATATTTGTGGACTGACTGTAGCGACGTCTTTTGGAAAAATTACAAATTCTTATCTCTCAACCAATCACATTAAGCCATTCTATGATAAACAACTTGTAACACGTGCATTTGAGGTGTCAACTGAATCCTTGTCTAACTATTTATGAAAGCTTTAATTTGATTGGTGCTTCTCAATGAGAGAAGCAAGCCCACGAATATTGAATGAAATATGCCAGGGGTCCAACGGCAACGTGTTGACTAAGGACCCCTGGCTTGCGAGGATGCAGGTTGGTTAGTGTAAATCCCTTGATGCATCATCCATGAAAGTTTGGTCTAGGTAGGGCTTATAGTTACTTGGGAACGGACCTGCTCCAAAATTTTAACCTGGTCACTCATCTGGAAAATCTAGGTCAGATCCAGCATCCAAAGCAAGTAGTGTCCATCCCTAGACGCATCATCGAAGCAAGTTTGGTCAAAGTAAGGCTTATATTTACTTGGGAATGGACCTACTCCAAAAACTTTAACCTGGTCACTCATCTGGAAAATCTAGGTCATATCCCACATCCGAAGCTGGTGTGGTAGTGTCCATCCTTGGATGCATCATCCATGCAAGTTTGGTCAAGGTAGGGCTTATAGTTAACTGGGAATAGACCTGCTCCAAAAACTTTAACCTGGTCACTCATCAGGAAATTCTAGGTCAGATCCAGCATCCGAAGCAATTGTGGTAGTGCTCATCCCTAGATACATCATCCATGCAAGTTTTGTCCATGTAGGGCTTATAGTTACTTGGGAATGGACCTTCTCAAAAAACTTTAACCTGGTCACTCATCTGAAAAATCTAGGTCAGATCCAGCATCCGAAGCAAGTATGGTAGTGTCCATCCCTAGATGCATCATCTATGCAAGCTTGGTCCAGGTAGGGCTTATAGTTACTTGGGAATGGACTTGCTCCTATAACTTTAACCGGTAATTAGTCAAATTAGAAAAGATGAATATGTATTCAATGGAATTTTCAAACATTTTATGTGGATTATGTACTTGTATGCAGTTTTTATAAATATTTGTTAGCTGTTCTAGTCCTGATCATAATTATGCAACTACAGTTGTCCCTTTGTGAAAGCCGTTCATGATCAGATTGTTTCAAGTATGGGTATTAACGTAGGTCGCAGGTTTGCTGACGTCATTAAAACTGGGTACACAATTTATATGGTTTGGGTGACTTTCTTGTGCACATTTGATTATGACGTCACAATGAAAAAGAAATTTCAGTACATCATTATCTAGCTATAACTTTTGTTGGAATTGGTATTTTATTGTTATATTATTTAAGGCACAACTAATCACAAATAATGAAGACTTTTTACGATTTGAATAGTCGATACAATATTTAGATATAACTTTTGTTGGAAATAGTAGTTTATTGTTATATTATTTATAGAACAAACTGAAGTTATAAAATATAATGAAGGGTTATTACGATTAGAATCCAACACTGGAAGTATTAGAAAGCGCTTCATTATGTGTTATAAATTGCATCCCGGAGAGCTCGGAATTTTCGGCTTGTCGGAAAGGTTCGCGAAATTGCGATTAATTAGATATCACATGGTATCGCGAAACGATATGGGCACAAGTTTCAACTGACCTCTTTTCCTTTGAACATATTTGAATTAACAGTTTGTTTAATTAATAAAGAAATCATTATATAAACAATCGCAAATACACCTATTACATTAAAAGTTTAACCTTTATTTTTAAAAAGGACATTTTAAAAATATATCTAAAGGTTTATCACAAATTAAAAACTGCTAACGTACTATGAAACATAAACTAATACATTTTTTGAGCGACACTGACCTCCTGTAAGTAAACACATGCACTTGGGATATGGATTCCCCCTTTCCATTTTTTTCTCTTAAAATCCGGGGTCGAGTCACCTTTTTCCTATTTTTGTATTCTAATACTGACAATTTACCCTTAGGCTGTAAAGATGCCCTTAAATGCGGGTGATTTAATTGAAATATTTACTAATCGGGGGCACATGAAAATTAAATGGAAATATGAAAAGGAAGAAGAATGTGTAAAAAAAAATTATTGATGTCTGCATATTTCATGTTTTCTTATGCTTTAGATAGATAATCATGCGAAGTTTAAGTTTAAGAAGTGAGTTAAACAAGGAGAAAATCTATATCAGTCGAAAAAAAACAATATATTTAACAAGAGGCCCATGGGCCACAGCGCTCACCTGAGTAACTTTGGCCTTGCTGTTTTTCATGTGATTTCTCCCCCCCCCCCCTTGTAGTGCTTATTGTGGCCCCGCCCTACCCCCAAGGGTCATGATTTGAATAATTAGAATCTACACTAGGTACCCCAGGATGCTTCCACATAAGTTTCAGCCTTTCTGGCCAAATGGTTCTTGAGAAGAAGATTTTTAGTGATTTTTTCTGCATATTTCAATGTAAAACTTGGATTCCCTATTGTGGCCCCGCCCTACCCCCAGGGGTCATGATTTGAACAATTTAAAATCTACACTACCCCAGAATGCTTCCACATTATTTGCAGCTTTTCTGGCCCAATGGTTCTTGAGAAGAAGATTTTTAAAAATTTTTCCTACACATTTCAATGTGAAACTTGGATTCCCTATTGTGGCCCCGCCCTACCCCCGGGGGTCACGATTTGAACAATTTAAAATCTACACTACCCAAGGATGCTTCCAAATAAGTTTCAGCTCTTCTGACCCAGTGGTTCTTGAGAAGAAGATTTTTAAAGATTTTTACTACATATTTCAATGTAAAACTTGGATTCCCTATTGTGGCCCGCCCTACCCCCAGGGGTCATGATTTGAAAAATTTAAAATCTACACTACCCAAGGATGCTTCCAAATAAGTTTCGGCCTTTCTGGCCCAACCCAGGGGTCATGATTTGAACAATTTAGAAGCTGCACTACCCCAGGATGCTTCCACGTAAGTTTCAGCTTTTCTGGCCCAGTGGTTCTTGAGAAGAAGATTTTTTAATGACCCCACCCAATTTTTGTATTTTCTTGATTATCTCCCCTTTGAACGGGACCTGGCCCTTCATTTTAACAATTTAAACTCCCATTCACTCAAGGATGCTTAGTACCAAGTTTGGTTAAAATTGGCCCAGTGGTTCTTGAGAAGAAGTCAAAAATGTGAAAAGTTTACAGACAGACGGACAGACAGATGGACGGACAGACGGACGGACGGACGGACGACGGACAACGGGTGATCAGAAAAGCTCACTTGAGCTTTCAGCTCAGGTGAGCTAAAAACAGCTTAGAGAGACAAAAGGGTTACATTATTGATGACATATAGTACATATTAGAATTCAAAAATTGGAAAAGGGTGACTGGACCCAAGATTTAAAATGAAAAAATGGAAGGGGACATTTTTATGTATCAGTCGTCAAAACGATATATTTAAAAACAGCTTATAGAGACAAAAGGGTTACATTATTGATAACATATAGTACATATTAGAATTCAAATACAGGAAAAGGGTGACTCGACCCCAGATTTAAAAAGAAAAAAAATTGAAAGGGGGGAGGGGAAAGGCAATACCCCAAGTGCATGTGTAAGTAATGCCTTACGATAAAATTAATTTTTAGATTCTCATCCCATTTACCCCTCTAAAAATGTCTTGTTCGTTTGGTTTTTTTTTTTCTATTCTTATACGTATAATCATAAAATCAAGTTAGATTTTTTTGAGTTATCTCCTGTCTGTATGTGAAATGAAATATATGGAGATAACGAACAGTATTCAAGCTAAAAATAAATAAAAACATTTTTTAAAAATATATACTGAAAATACAATATATTTAGCCGGGACGATATTTGGCGGAAATTCATTCATAAAGAAGTTATTGTAGCTATGAGCTCACTTCTGAATGTTCTAAATAAAAACATTTCATATGTATACTTGAATAAGAGGATAACCATTTTCCGCCAGCACGCTGAAAAATACACAGCCAAATGTAGGATACTTATCTATGAAAAAGAAAAGAAAACAAAACAAAAAGAAAAGAAAAGAAAAGAAACGGTAAGAAAACAACACATAAAGAAAATACATTGAAAGAAGAAAACTAAAGGACTGATTGTCGTTTTACGTCCCTTGAGATAATTTTCACTGAGACGTACAAAGAATATTAGAAGAGAAACATATCTAATAATCATTTCATTGCTATTGAATTATTATGATACGATTCGTGGGTCATATGAAAGCAGATAGACGTGAATTAAAAAATATTTTGTTTTTCTGCTCTGTATACCGGATCGATATTCATGACATCAAGCGTGACGTCGCGATAATTTATGACGTAGTTCTTAAAAATGTTAAATTTTGCGATATAAAAGCAATTATCTACATTTAAATTACGAGGAAACAAACCCGAAGACATATTAATTTTTTCACATCGATTTATTTCAAATCAATTTTATTTTAAGATACCAAAGAGGGGAACAATTTCGTCTGCACCATTTAAAAGTTAATGATATTTTTTTAAACAAAATCTTGCCTGAAAACGAGCCGAAATCGACGTTTTTCCTATATAATTCAATACAATTACGTCGAAAATGTTACTACAACAATGGCATCTTTGGGATTTTTAAAATAACATAAAAACAATGCAAATTTTATCAAATTTTCAGAGAATGTAAGACAAAGGTAGATGAATCATATAACTAATTTCCATGGTATGTTTTCGGACACTTTTAAAAGGCCTGCAAACCCGCGACCTACATTAATTACCCAATAAGCAAATAATAATTTTTAATATAGATGTTTTCAGATCGATATTTACATTTTCTTAGTCCTGGTCATCATCCACTTATTTTTAACATTTTGGTAGCCTTGTATTCGTAAAGTACATCTACAAAGCACACACAGGTGACAGAAATAAAAAAAATTATGTCACTGATTTTCTCAATCTTTTAATTACACATACCTTGTTGACATATCGCAACCAAAGAAGTTTCTCTCATGAAAGGGAAATCATTTAAAACATACAAACTTTTCAGAGTTATCTTTCCTTTGTAAACAAAGGTAAATACAGTAAATTACATCCCTATGAACCTGTAAAATTTGTGCAATCTTTCAAAATAAGTCTCCACAAATTTTAATGATTCCACATTATCTAGTTAAATTTTGATCTGGTCTTACAAATAATTAAATCAAGACAGAATGTTCTTAAAAATAAATTCAGCCTTCTTTTATTATAAAATACTGTTGATACAAAAACAAAAGAATCTTATTTAAGTTTGAACCCTTAGCTTCACTAGAGTCTTGGAAGTCATGGTGACCCTAACCCACAAAATTACATCCCCACTAACAAATACTTTGTCAACTAGTATATAACAAGTACCCATGAATTTACACCCCCACAAATCAGTAAACTTTTGGTTATACCATGAACATTGACCCCCTTGAATTAAAATGATTCAACAGTACTTACCTTTTCTAGTCTTCTTTTGGCATTTGATTCTTTCAGTCGACGGATTTGCTGTTCTCTCCTTTCCTTTAACTGATCAGCTGTCAGTTGACTCCCACTTACCTATCAGAAAGCAATAGTTTTTTAACAGAATCCCCTGCATTATTCAATAATCATGGTTTTAATTAAAAGAATGACTAAATATAATCCGATTCAACATGAAAAGACTATTTTCTTGCAAATATACCGGTATAATAGATACATCATACTTTAAATAATTTTTTGTTTGAGTGGCCAGGTTATCATACAGAACTTAAAAAAAAAAAACTCTAGACCAACTTTTAAAATAATGTTTAATACCCTCTCTCAACTCAGACTGAAAAATCTGGGCTTGTTCCCGTTTTGCACACATTTGAATTTCAGGCATACAAAAAATGTGTGCAAAACGTGAATTTGTCCAGGTGAGATAATTACTTAATTGGTATAGTCTGTATCATACAGTAAATAGGAAAGAGGTGAACCTATAGGGAGAGAGTAGGAAAATAAAATACGAAATTAAAAAAAAATATATATATGTGCATTTTGTTTTTATTTATTTCTTTACTTGAATAATAAAATAGAAATTTTTACTAAATAATTAATCGTGAATAGTAATCAGTGAATATATGATTTGTCAGCTTTAAAATTATTTATTTTTGAAGAACTGGCAGATATATTTTCTAGATATAATAATTAATATTGAATAAAATAATTAATAAATCCCCACTTTTCCAATAACAAGAGGCCCATGGGCCACATCGCTCACCTGAGTAACTTTGGCCCTGCTGTTCTTCACCTAATTTCCTACCTTGTAATACCTATTGTGGCCCCGCCCTACCCCCGGGGTCATGATATGAACAATTTAGAATCTACACTACCCCAGGATGCTTCCATGTAAGTTTCAGCTTTTCTGGCCCAGTGGTTCTTGAGAAGAAGATTTTGCCTTCATATTTCAATGTAAAGCTTGGATTCCCTATTGTGGCCACGCCCTACTCCCAGGGGGTCACGATTTGATCAATTTAGAATCTACACTACCCCAGGATGCTTCCACATAAGTTTCAGATATTCTGGCCCAGTGGATCTTGAGAAGAAGATTTTTCCTATATATATCAATGTAAAACTTGGATTCCCTATTGTGGCCCCACCCTACCCCCGGGGGTCACGATTTGATCACTTTAGAATCTACACTACCCCAGGATGCTTCCACATAAGTTTCAGCTATTCTGACCCAGTGGTTCTTGAGAAGAAGATTTTTCCTACATATCTATATATATTAATGTAAAACTTGGATTCTCTATTGTGGCCCCACCCTACCCCTGGGGGTCACGATTTGATCAATTTAGAATCTACACTTCCCAAGGATGCTTCCACATAAATTTCAGCTTTTCTGGCCCAGTGGTTCTTGAGGAGAAGATTTTTTAAGTCTTTTACTACATATTTCAATGTAAAACTTGGATTCCCTATTGTGGCCCCGCCCTACCCCCGGGGGTCATGATTTGAACAATTTAGAATCTACACTATCCCAGGATGCTTCCACATAAGATTCAGATATTCTGGCCCAGTGGTTCTTGAGGAAAGATTTTTAAAAATATTTTCTACATATTTCAATGTAAAACTTGGATTCTCTATTGTGGCCCCGCCCTACCCTCGGGGGTCATGATTTGAACAATTTAGAATCTACACTATTCCAGGTTAATTCCACATAAGTTTCAGCTTTTCTGGCCCAGTGGTTCTTGACAAGAAGATTTTTAAAGATATTTTCTGCATATTTCAATGTAAAACTTGGATTCCCTATTGTGGCCCCGCCCTACCCCCGGGGGTCATGATTTGAACAATTTAGAATCTACACTATCCCAGGATGCTTCCACATAAGTTTCAGCTTTTCTGGCCCAGTGGTTCTTGACAAAAAGATTTTTAAAGATATTTTCTACATATTTCAATGTAAAACTTGGATTCTCTATTGTGGCCCCGCCCTACCCTCGGGGGTCATGATTTGAACAATTTAGAATCTACACTACCCCAGGATGCTTCCACATAAGTTTCAGCTTTTCTGGCCCAGTGGTTCTTGAGAAGAAAATTTTTAAAGATTTTTTCTACATATTTCAATGTAAAACTTGGATTCCCTGTTGTGGCCCCGCCCTACCCCCGGGGGTCATGATTTGAACAATTTAGAATCTACACTACCCCAGGATGCTTCCACGTAAGTTTCAGCTTTTCTGGCCCAGTGGTTCTTGAGAAGAAGATTTTTTAAAGATCCCACCCAATTTTTGTCTTTTCTTGATTATCTCCCCTTTGAAGGGGGCTTGGCCCTTCATTTTAACAATTTAAACTCCCCTTCACCCAAGGATGCTTTGTACCAAGTTTGGTTAAAATTGGCCCAGTGGTTCTTGAGAAGAAGTTGAAAATGTGAAAAGTTTACAGACGGATGGACGGACGGACGGACGGACGGATGACGGACAACGGGTGATCAGAAAAGCTCACTTGAGCTTTCAGCTCAGGTGAGCTAAAAACTATTACATACATTAAATAAATATTTATAAGCATAGGTAAAATACAGGTAGACCTAACCAGAAATCAGACTATAATTGTTGTCAAAACACATTTCACACCTATTGTTCTATACCTAATTATCAAATGTGTGCAAAACGGGAACACACCAAAAATCTGGGTTGGTAGGTAGGTGGGAAAAAATTTTTTTCACAGAAAATTTTAAAATCAATGCTGAATTTTCAAAATTTCACCCCCAAATGCATTAAAAAATAATTGTTCTTTGAAGTTAAACAAGAGGCCCAAGGGCCTTAATGGTCACCTGAGTACAATACAACAATTTAGAGAATCCATAAACTGATAAATGAAGCTTTGTTGCCCAAAAGCAAGAAAAATAGAAAGATTTGCATCAACAACATAATTGGTCTAGTATCTAATCTGTTCCCCATTTATCACTATTACCATGCAGACTATTAAGAAACTGTCTATTTTTTAACTCATATTATTACTTCTCACATTGGTCTCTCTTAGCCTTTGAAGAACATTTAAAAAAGGTAAGTTATTTTTGTCTCAAATTTATTCATCTATTACTTCCAAGTCACCTGATCATTAAAACTATGAAAGTACTTTTTGTATTATACAATAAATATTCTTGCATAATTCTCTTATTCTATTAAGCATTCAAATACATTATTTACAGTGATTTATTATCAAAGGTGAATGGCAAAGGGGAATAACTTTGCTCAGCAGAATACAAGTTAAAAGAGCACTGGTCAGGACCAGAACACTTGATTAAATGGTCCAGGTGTTCAAAATTCTGGTAAAAATACCCCTGCATATTAAAACTTTTCTCTGTTTGCCCCAGATATGCCAAGAAGCATAGAAAATTTTCAAAGAAATGCATTTTCACTATATTATTAAATAAATAAAGCCCCATCCTTACACCAGAACAACTGCCCATTGGCCATAAGCTCACGATTCTGGAATAAGCACCCTTGCTCATCATAATTATACACTTGTTTCTTTGCTTTATAACCAGTAGTAGAAAAAAAATATTTCGAAAGAAATTATGCATTTTCACTATATAACCAATAGAGCCCCCTCCCCTTCACCAGAACCCCTGACCCTGGGGCCATGAATTTCACAATCTTGGAGGAGGCATTCTTCCTTATCATAACCATGCACTTCCTTTGTTTGAAAAATACCCAGGAGCAGAGAAGAAAATTTTGAAAGAATTTATGCATTTTCCCTATATAATCACCAGAACCCCTGAGCCAAGGGCCATGAAATTCACAATTTTGGAAGAGGCAACCATGTTCGTCATAACTATGCACTAAGTTAGTTTTTTTAAAACCCAAGAGCAGAGAAGAAGATTTTCAATGAATTTATGCAATTTTAATGAAATTTTACTATATAATCAATGGAGCCCCACCCTAACACCTGAACCCCTGACCCTGGGGCCATGAAATTCATAATTTCTGAAAAGGCAGCCATTTTCACCATAACTATGTTCTTAAATAGTTTATTTAATACACAGGAGCAGAGAAGAAGATTTTCAAAGAATTAATGCATTTTCACTATATAATCAATAGAGCCCCACCCTAACACTAGAACCCCTGACCCTGGGGCCATGAAATTCACAATTTTGGAAGAGGGACTCTTGTTCATCATAACTATGCACCTAGTTAGTTTATTTAATACCCAGGAGCAGAGAAGAAGATTTTCAAAGAATTAATGCATTTCCACTATATAATCAATAGAGCCACGCCCTAACACCAGAACCCCTGACCCTGGGGACATGAAATTCACAATTTTGGAAGAGACACTCTTGCTCATCATAACTATGTACTTAGTTAGTTTATTTAATACCCAGGAGCAGAGAAGAAGATTTTCAAAGAAATAATGCACTTTCACTATATGATCTATATAGCCCCACCCTAGCACCAGAACCCCTGACCCTGGGGCCATGAATTTCACAATTTTGGTAGAGGGCTCAATGCTTATTACAATCATGCCAACAGTTTGACTGCTTGATGTCCAGGAGTAAAGAAGAAGATTTTTAAAGACTGCATTAATTTTGGTGGTTTTAGCCCCACCCCTCAGGCCCCAAAGGGTGGGGGGGCAGGGATCAAGAAATTCACAATTTTTGTTCCCCTTTACCCAAAGATGCTATATGCCAAATTTGGTTGAAATTGGTTAAGCGGTTACAGAGAAGAAGCTAAAAATGTTCAAATGTTAACGCAAATTGCACAATGACAGACAAAAACGGATAGCAATAGGTCACCTGAGTGACTCAGGTGACCTAAGAAAAGTTTTGAGTGGGGCCATTTTTAGCCAGTCGGTCGGGAGAGGGCAACCAAACAAATTTTAAAGATTACCCTGTTTCATTTTTTTTTTTTTTTAATTTAAAGAGGCTGGGGGGTTGTGGCCATTTTTAGACTATATTGATCTCCTTTAGAAGAAGAGCTCCATATGAAGATATAGAAAATGATCAAATTTTAAAACTAAAATTTTTGAAATTTTTCTTTGCCAAATGATAGTTGACAGCTTAAGATATATCTAAAAAATTGAGTTAAATCTGGTGGTTAATTTGTGGTTAATTTGTTGACCCCCCAGCCTCCTTAATGAAATTTAAATATAGTTTAACAAGTCCCAAGTGCATAATTTGTAACACAATTTGAAGAAAAACTTAAAATAAAAGTTCTGTACAGTAAGAACTCTTTTTATACTGTGTAACTCTTTGGTAGCCTTGGATTTCTTTTCTGACCTTACTCTTCTCTCAGAAGCAATGATTTGGAAATAAATGATATCCACCAGTATATGGGAATGCCTGCACTTTAATTTAAAATAATGTAGACCTTAGATAGGAAGTGTTTTATAGATGTTATCCAGTAAAATTCTGTTAAACTCTAGAACCAATATGTATGCTTGATTCTGTCTAATGTTACCATATTAGAACAAATCATATGTACTCTTTTTAACAATGCACCAGTATACATAATCATTTGACAGTTTGTGCTCTGAAATTTTCAACATACTATTTTAAAATTCAATTTCCAAAACGTCATCCTTTTTTGACCCCATTCCAGTCTATGAGGCATAATTTGAATAAAGTTTTACATTTGCTGTCTAACACATTTTTTCTTGAAAGGACTTTAAATTCACACAAATCCAATTTCTCTGTTTCTTCATTAGCTACTTTCAAAATCAGGTATCTTCTTTTATTTGGGGGAAAAATGAATGTCCTTTACCTAAGGCTTAAGGATGATAGTAAGAAAACTAAGCATGTTGGTTAAATTGCTTCAAGAAATTTAACAAAAGATAAATATACAAAACAAGAGGCCCATGGGCCACATCGCTCACCTGAGCACATTGGCTAGGCAAAAGCACAATCAGTTCAGTATTGAAAAGACCGGGGGGGGGGGGGGGGGGGGGGGTTTGAATTTTAAACTACCTGATGATGCTTCCATGTCAATATAACAAATGGCTTTGTTGTACTTGAGAAGATTTTTTAAAAAAAATTCTCATATATTCCTTTGTAAAAATTTGATCCCTCATTGTGGCTCCTCCCTATCCCAGGGGTCATCATTTGAACAAACTTGAATCTACACTACCTGAGGATGCTTCCATATCAATATGACTAAACATAGCTTTTCTGTTCTTGAGAAGAAATATTTTTTCTATATGTTCTTATGTAAAACTTTCCATCCCCCATTGGGCCCCATCCTACCCCTGGGGGTCATCATTTGAACAAAATTGAATCTTCACTACCTGAGGATGCTTCCATATCAATATGACTAAACATAGCTTTTCTGTTCTTCATCAGAAGAAATTTTCCTTTATATTTCTATGTAAAACTTTGATCCTCCATTGTGGCTCCGCCCTACCCCCGGGGGTCATGGTTTGAACAAACTTGAATCTACACTACCTGAGGATGCTTCCATATAAATATGACTCATCATGGCTTGCTGTTCTTGAGAAGAAATATTTTTTCTATATGTTCTTATGTAAAACTTTCCTTCCCCCATTGGGCCCCACCCTACCCCTGGGGGTCATCATTTGAACAAAATTGAATCTACACTACCTGAGGATGCTTCCATATCAAAATGACTAATCATGGTTTGCAGTTCTTCAGAAGAAGATATTTTCCTTTATATTTCTATGCAAAACCTATCCTCCATTGTGGCCCCGCCCTACCCCCGGGGGTCATGGTTTGAACAAACTTGAATCTACACTACCTGAGGATGCTTCCATATAAATATGACTCATCATGGCTTGCTGTTCTTGAGAAGAAGATTTTTAAAGATTTTTCCTATATATTTCTATGTAAAACTTTGATCCTCCATTGCGGCCCCGCCCTACCCCCGGGGGTCATGGTTTGAACAAACTTGAATCTACCCTACCTCAGGATGCTTCCATATAAATATGCCTCATCATGGCTTTGCTGTTCTTGAGAAGAAGATTTTTAAAGATTTTTCCTATATATTTCTATGTAAAATTTTGATCCTCCATTGTGGCCCCGCCCTACCCCGGGGGTCAAGATTTGAACAAATTTGAATCTACACTACCTCAGGATGCTTCCATATAAATATGACTCATCATGGCTTTGCTGTTCTTGAGAAGAAGATTTTTAAAGATTTTTCCTATATATTTCTATGTAAAACTTTGATCCTCCATTGCAGCCCCGCCCTAATCCCGGGGGTCATGATTTGAACAAATTTGAATCTACACTACCTCAGGATGCTTCCATATAAATATGACTCATCATGGCTTTGCTGTTCTTGAGAAGAAGATTTTTAAAGATTTTTCCTATATATTTCTATGTAAAACTTTGATCCTCCATTGTGGCCCCGCCCTACCCCCGGGGGTCATGATTTGAACAAACTTGAATCTACCCTACCTCAGGATGCTTCCATATAAATATGACTCATCATGGCTTTGCTGTTCTTGAGAAGAAGATTTTTAAAGATTTTTCCTATATATTTCTATATAAAACTTTGATCCTCCATTGCAGCCCCGCCCTAATCCCGGGGGTCATGATTTGAACAAACTTGAATGTACACTACCTAAGGATGCTTTCACATGAGTTTCATCTTTCCTGGCCCTGTGGTTCTTGAGAAGAAGATTTTTAAATGATGCCATTATTTTTTCAGTAATTCCTAATTATCTCCCCTTGAAAGAGAGCTTTCAGCTCAGGTGAGCTAAAAAGTTCAAAAACACATTAAAATGAACAAGAGATAAATAAAACTGGCTAGCAATGTCACCTATAAGATTCTGGTGACCTAATACAAGGGGAAAATGAGCCAAAACAACATCTAGACAAGAGGCCCATGGGCCACATCCACACCTGAGCACTTTGGCTAGGAAAAAGCAGAAATCAGTTCAGTATTGAAAGGTTTTAATAGAAAAGTGGTTTGGAAAGGGGGTTCATGATTTGAATAAACTTGAATCTACATTTCTTAAGGATGCTTTTGAATAAATATGACCAATGATGGCTTTGCTGTTCTTAAGATGAAAATTTGATTTGAAATATCCTTTATATTGCTTTGTATAACTATGATCCCCCATTATGGCCTCTCTATTCTCCTAGAAGGTAATGATTTGAAGAAATTTAAATCTAAATTACCTGAGGCTGCTTTAATATTATTATGACCAATCATGGCTTTCCTGTTCTTGTAAGGAATTTTAAAGATTTTTCCTATGTAATCCCTACCCCCGGGGGTAATAATTTGAACAAACTTGAATCTACACTACCCAAGGGTGCTTCCATATAAATATGAACAATCATGGCTTTGCTGTTCTTGAGAAGATTTTTCCTATGTAAAACTATGATCTCCTATTGTGGCCCCACCCTACCCCCAGGGGTCATGGTTTGAATAAACTTGAATCTACACTACCTTACAATGATTCCATATAACTTAAGTTTCATATTTTCAAGCACAGTGGTTCTTGAGAAGACTTTTAAATTATGCCATTAATTTTTCAGAAAATCATAATTATCTCCCCTTGGAAGAAGGCATGGCCCTTCATTTGAACAAATTTGAATCCCCTTTACCTAAGGATACTTTGTAGCCAGTTTCGTTGAAATTGGCCAAGTGGTTCTTGAGAAGAAGATGAAAATGTGAAAAGTTTACGTCAACAGAAAACGGACAAATTTCGATCAGAAAAGCTCACTTGAGCCTTCGGCTCAGGTTAGCTAAAAATAGCTTTAGCTGTAGAATACCTCGTTTATCTTTATGACCACTAGAACATGCTATTTTTTAGAACAGAGTTTCATTCAAAAAATGCAAGAGTACGAACTGCAGCATTATATGGTAGTTGTATCTTGGTAACATTGTTCTCGTAATAATCATTGTCAGTCCAATCCTCTAATTCTTTAATATAATCTTCTGCCATGTAACAATGGTCTCTAACTAGCTCCTAAAAAAGACAATTGATTGAGTTTTAATGTGAAAATGAATCCAGCTACACTGTATACAGTGAAAACTTAATAACTCTAACATCTTTATAAGAGAGTTGATTCCATTATGTTTTTTTATGCTTAAAATAATTATACAATTATACATAATGTTAAATTTTTTTATGACAAAGAAGCTTTTATTCACGTGTGAAAAAATCTTAATTTCACATCCTTCTTTTAAATGAAAATGTTTCTCACAGCCAATATATAATTCATTTTGTATTCAAGCAGAATGTTTTCTTAATCATAAAAATTGAATAATCACAGGGGGATTTCAAAATGGTGATAAATTGCCAATAAAAGTTGTCACAAATAAAAGTGGGTTTATAGTAATATTACAGAAAAAGTTAACTTTACTAATTAAGTGTAAAACAACTTGTCCATTGCTATAACTTTCATCTTTATAATTACAATTACTATTTGTGCCTTAAACTTCTCGCAACCATATGATATTTCTGACCTCTGCTCTGCTCAGGGTGATGGCTGCCATGTGACCTGGGTACTTAAGCTGAAGGAGTCTCTGCATGAATGCATCAAGCTGTGCCCCACCCATATTGATCCGACGGCAATGGGCAGAGTATATCCTCCCTCCCACAATGGGGATGAGAGAAGTGGTCTGATAACCACAGCCCAAGATTAGAGAGTGTGTCTGGTCTATAAAACACATCAACATGACCATATATTGTCAGGGATTTTTCATGCATATAAATAATATTCTCTTAATGCTACAGTTTTAGATACAGTACCCGTAATGTCCTGGTTATTATATAGACTGAACAGTGAATCCACCCCATAGGCCACAGATGGAACATGGTAACACTCAAACAGCAACTCAGACATTTCTTTAAAAAATACATAAAATCATGCACAATTTTAAACTGCACAGTTTTGATAATGTGTTGCTTATAATTTAAATTATGCTACTTAATCAGATGGTGTGATGGCAATAAAGCAGAAATATACTGTATAGCTAGGACATACTATAGCTAGGTGGGGGTATGATTTTGGGCTATGGTTTATAAAGATTTACCAATGCATTTATAACTAGAACTATCCAAAATAGACAAATACCCCCCACTGGGTTTTTCAGAAAAGGTACCAATTAAGTCACTAAAGTTTTATGGATCTAAGAGGTGTTCACAATTTGTTTAAACATTTAGAGTGAAGATTTATTTTGCTCATTATACATGTACTAGCCTTATAAAACATAAATACAAATACATGTAATTACATTGTTTTTTATAAGACTGGGGAAAAAAAATAAATTGCAATTATCTGTCATGTTTGTGATACATGGCACTCTGCAAAAAAAAAAAATCATATTATACTATATCAAATTAATCTTGATAACTTTAAACCAAATTCATTTTAAAAATAAAAGCTGGTCATCCAGTAACTAAGTACTTTAATTTGACAGAAATTATAAATTACAATTCAGAGAGTTAGAGAACCGATATCTTTTATTCTTCTGCCTAATTCCCAGGAGATATACAGATGTAGATAACACCTGCTAAATCAGAGATGCTCTAACAACTTCCCACACTGAACTCATTAATTAATCTTTAACTGGATTTTAACTGGATTCATGTCCACTCATTACTCCCAAGGGACAAATGGATTTACACTATCTGCAATGTAATGCACCCTGAGTTTGTATTGTAATAGAAAATGCATATTTATGTCATTATGTTGAAAACAAAGATTTTTTTATTTTGTTACAAAGCTTTTATTATATAATGAAAAAAAAGAACTGTCTAACCTTGATGCAACATTTTTAAATAAGGTTACTGCATGACTCTTGAATTTGTAGGGACTACCTACCAAAAAAACTTTTTTTGATACTTGGCGATTTTTTTAGTTTTAATAATTAGTTTTAAGCTGCTATTCACATTTTTGTACAGATGTACCGACTTGCTTCTAGATTCTATGTCTCAGACCTACTGTAAATACTTGCCTATAAGTCAGTTTTTTGAGAGTTAAACTTTGGTCCAAAACTATGTATCCGACTTATACGCAAGTTATAAAAAGATTGGTATTTTAACAGGTCAATCCCTCTAATTTAAGATTAAAAAATACAACCGACTTATAGGCGGACCAACTTATAGGTGAGTATAATTATTACGGTACATGAACCCAAAATGACTAATTAAAAAAAAAACACCTGTAAAATGCAGAAAAATAATCCAATCATGATGAAAATACCAGATGCACATTTTCATATAGTGAATAATGAGTGTACAAATTTTCAGACAAATCCATGCAATAATCTCTGAGAACAAGTCAAGACAAAATCATGTCTACAGACAGATGGACATGCTGATTCCAATATAAACCACCCCCACCCCACCCCTAAAAAAAACAAAAAAAAAACTTCATTTGTGTGAGGTATAAAAATCAATAAATTTAACAATATCAATTTATTTCAAATAAATAGAAGAGGGTTAAACAAAATAAAATGTGCCAAATTTTGTAGTACATTTTGTAGAGCCAAATCTGTCAACTTAATGACCCCCTCACCCAAATAAACAGTAATACAATATACTGTAAATGAATTCTCCAACTTTTAGATAGGGTATTCATTTCCTAGCTTAAGACCTAATGTCTCTCTGTTCTAAATTTCATGGAAAAAACAAGAGGCCCGTGGGCCACAATGCTCACCTGAGCACTGTGGCTATAAAAGGTTCAGTATTGAAAAGTTTAAGATCATAAGTGGTACCAACCTACACCTAAAAGGGGTTGGGGGATATGATTTGAACAAAAACTAAGGATGCTTACATATTTTGTAGCTTTTCCCCTATAAGTTTGCACCTACCCATGATTTGAACAAACTTGCATTTACTCTTCCCGAGGATGCTTCCATATAAATATGACCAATCATGGCTTTGCTGTTCTTCGTCAGAAGAATTTAAAGATTTTTTTCTATATATTCCTATGTAAAACTTAAATCATCCATTGTGGCCCCACCCTACCCCTGGGGGTCATGATTTGAACAAACTGGAATCTACTCTACCTGAGGATGCTTCCATATAAATATGACCAATCATGGCTTTGCTGTTCTTCATCAGAAGATTTTAAAGATTTTCCTATATATTCCTATGTAAAACATGGATCATCCATTTTGGCCCCCACCCTACCCCTGGGGGTAATGATTTGAACAAATTTGAATCTATACTACCTGAGGATGCTTCCATATAAATATGACCAATCATGGCTTTGCTGTTCTTGAGAAGATTTTAAAATAATTTTTGTATATATTCCTATGTAAAACTTTGATCATCCATTGTAGCCCCACCCTACTGCCGGGAGTCATGATTTGAACAAACTTGAATCAACACTGCCTGATGATGTTTCCATATAAGTTTCATCTTTCCTGGCCCAGTAATTCTTGAGAAAAAAATTTTTAAAAGATGCCATTAATTTTTCACAAATTTGTAATTATCTCCCCTTGGAAGATGGCGTGGCCCTTCATTTGAACAAACTTGAATCCCCTTCACCCAAAGATACTTTGTAACAAGCTTGGTTGAAATTGACCCAGTGGTTCTTTAGAAGAAGTCGAAATTGTGAAAAGTTTACAGATGGAAAGACAGCTAGATGGACAGATGGACACCGGTCAAAATGTGATCAGAAAAGCTCACTTGAGCCTTCAGCTCAGGTGAGTTAAAAATTCAGACTTTGATTTTTATCAATAACAAAAGAATTAGATTCAAATGGAAAAGGGATTGAGATATGAAGCGTGGCTTACATTTTCCAAAATCAAATATATGTCTATCCATGTTACGAAGAAAGTTGGACACAGTAAACAGACGCATTAATTCATTATCACAACAATAAAAGTATAAGGTATATTTAAAAATGATATTTTCTGTCATACTTATTAAATTCATACCAGAAAACATAATGAAGCGATGCTTTTTAAATCGGAATTCCATCTTTTTTATCAATACTTGTGAAAACATAGGTAATCAGAGATTACAGAGCTCACCTCAACGAATGTTGTCTTTAAGTAAGCCACACTAAACTAATAATCTAGGAGTGTGCATCCCTAGATGCAACATTTATGCAATTTTGGTCTGATAGGGCTTGCAGTTACTTGGGAATAAACTTATCTGAAAACTTAAAACTAGTCACTCATCCAGAAAATGTAAGTCAAATCCAGCATCTGAAGCACGTTTGAGATTGTTCGTCCCTTGATGCATCATCCATACAAGTTTGGTTCAGATAGGCCTTATAGTTACTTGGAAATGAGATCTGCTCCAAAAACTTTAACCTGGTTACTCATCTGGAAAATGTAGGTCAGATCCAGCATCCGAAGCAAGTCCAGTAGTGTGCATCCTTAGATGTATCATCCATGCAAGTTTAGTCAATACAGGGCTTATAGTTACTTGGAAATGACATCTGCTCCAAAAACTTTAACCTGGTTACTCATCCAGAAAATCTAGGTCAGATCCAGCATCTGAAGCAAGTCCAGTAGTGTGAATCCTTAGATGTATCATCCATGCAAGTTTGGTCAACATAGGGTTTATAGTTATTGGAAACGACATCTGCTCCAAAAACTTTGACCTGGTCACTCATCCGGAAAATGTAGGTCAGATTCAGCATCTGAAGCAACTCCAGTAGTGTGCATCCTTAGATGTATCATCCATGCAAGTTTAGTCAAGGTAGGGCTTATAGTTACTTGGAAATAAGATCTGCTCCAAAAACTTTAACCTGGGTACTCATCCGGAAAATATAGGTCAGATCCAGCATCCGAAGCAAGTCCAGTAGTGTTCATCTTTAGATGTATCATCCATGCAAGTTTGGTCAATATAGGGCTTATAGTTACTTGGAAATGAGATCTGCTCAAAAAATTTTAACCTGGTCACTCATCCAGAAAATATAGGTCAGATCCAGCATCCGAAGCAAGTCCAGTAGTGTGCATCCTTAGATGTATGATCCATGCAAGTTTGGTCAATATAGGGCTTATTGTTACTTGGAAATGAGATCTGCTCCAAAAACTTTAACCTGCTTCAAAAACTTTAACCTGCTCCAAAAACATTAATCTGGTCATTCTTTAGCTGAAATTGCAGCATCTGAAACCTTGACTGGTAAAATGAAACACACTAGAAGCATCCTCCATGCATCTCTGACTAATATAGGCCATAAAAGTACTTGAAAAGAAAACTGCTCCAAAAACCTTAACCTGGGACGCTGACGCTGATATCGAGGGTATTACATAAGCTCCCCCAACTTCGTTGAGGTGAGCTAAAAATGAGTCTCTCAGTAAGAATTATCTTTCTTTAATTTTATCTTTTTTTTTCCTAAAGAAAAAATATACTACTTATAAAAGTACTCTGCCTAGTTCGTTGTAAATTATACAACTTTTTTTTAAAAGTTCTTATAAAGAAATAGAAATATTTTAATTATTTTAACAAGAAAATAAACTAGATGCAAATGTTTAAGATAGAAAAATATAAATACCTAACAAATATATTAGCAAAAGAAAATACAAATCACTGTTAGAAAGATGTGTTTTTGCCAAAGGGTGTAATTACCATGTAGGAATTTTACTGGTAATCAAGTAAATGACTAAATAAAAATACCTGATTTAACTAATTTTCGGATATTTTTTTTTGGATTTAATTCCTTCGGAAGTTATCTTTCTTATCAGAAGGACAATAGACCTTAAAAATGAAAAGAATTTTGAGTACAGTAAAGCTTGTTTAGTACGAACATGGATATAACGAATTTACAGATGTAGCGAATTTTTTGCAATCCCCAGCAAAATTCTTAACAATTCCTTGTAAAATATTACGGATATAACGAACTCGGATAAAATGAATTTAGGGTTAAAGCGAACTGATTCTGTGTCCCCTAGAAGTTAAAAATAATGAAATTTACATCTTTTATAGCGAATTTTTAAAAGAATTAAGTTTTTAAAATATTGAACTGACATTTACTTTGTAAGTATATATATTTAGAACACTATTCATTCGAAAAAATTTTAACTCCAAGGTAAATTTTATATTTTATACTTCTCTAAATACATTTGGTAGTCATACTTCAAGGAAAAAAATCTATACTGCAAAGTTGCTATGTTTACTTTAACGAATTTGTTATACGGATATAACGAATTACGGATATAGCGAAGTAAATTCTCAGGTCCCCAGAACTTCGCTATAACCGAGTTTTACTGTATTTCCTATTCTTAATAAAGCATTATTTTGAGGATTTGACTGTTTTAAAATTTAAGCAAAGCTTACGCTGTCGACAGTAGCCTGGGTTACACAATGCCTCTGTCATTACTATTGGGTGATTGACACAACCCTCACTGTTGATGCCAAGGTGAGCAAATATGTAATCATAGATCTGCTCCTGAAATAATAAAATCAAGATCAGTGTTTGAAATAACCGTGCGCCCGACCACCCCAGACGCACAAATTTTGCAGCAGGCGAACAAATTTGCATGTATTGATGCCCGGCTGGACAAGTTTTCTATCATTAAAATTCATGTATGTGATAAATCTCTTTCATATAAACTAATAGTAATGGTAGCAAAGTGTAATAAGCCAAGAGGAAGAAGTCACCGGTCTATAGATTCTGGTTCAAAGTTATTGTGACCTGGTTCCAGTCACATAAATGTTAAAAACAAATTTATAAAAGACAATTATTTTCTCGGGCTAGTAGATCTTTGGCAGGGCTGACAACTTTTACTAGCAGTCAGCCCTGCATGGCTAGCTAATTTTGCAGTGAGTTTCAAACACTGTCAAGATATTCTTTTCATATATGACATTAATATCTGAGGCATAGCAATTACGCTCAATAACAAGAGGCCCATGGGCCACAATGCTCACCTGGGTCAATATGGCCCTGTTGTTCTTAATCAGATTTTTTCTATAATATATTCCTATGTAAAACTTTTATCCCTAAAGTGACACACACATCCCCCTCCAGTGTCATGATTTTTATAGATGTAGCCTCACCCTAGGCCTCAGGGTCATGATTTGAACAAATTTGAATCTACACTACCTCAAAATACTTCCATATTAATGTGACTAAACATAGCTTTAATGATCTTGAAAAAAAGATTTTAGAGAATTTTTTCCTATACATCCATATGTAAAACTCTGATAGTGCATTGTGGCCCCACCCTAGCCTGAACAAACTTGAATCTACACAACCTTAGGATGCTTCCATATCAATATGACTAAACATGGCTTTGCTGTTCTTGAGAAGAAGATTTTTGAGGATTTTTTTCCTATATATTCCTATGTAAAACTTTGATGCCCCATTGTGGCCCCACCCAAACCCCTGGGGTCAAGACTTGAACAAAATTGAATCTACACTACCTTAGGATGTTTCCACATTAATTTACTTATCATGGTTTTGCTGTTCTTGAGAAGAGGATTTTTGAAGATTTTTTTTCCTATATATTCCTATGTGAAACTTTGATCCCCCATTTTGGTCCAATCCTATCCACCGGGGTCACGATATGAACAAATTTGAATCTAGACTAGCTAACGATTCTTCCATATCAATATGACTAAACATGGCTTTGATTTTCTTGAGAAGATGTTTTCCTATGTATTCCTATATGAAACTTTGATACCCCACTGTGGCCCGTCCTTACCCCGCAGGGGTCATGATTAGAATAAATTTGAATCTACACTATATAAAGAAGGTTTCATACAAGTTTCAACTTTTATGGCCCATTGGTTCTTGAGAAGAAGAGTTTTAAAAGATACCACCAAAATTTCATTAATTCTTAATTATGTCCCCTTGCAAGAGGGTGCGGCCCTTCATTTGAACAAATTTGAATCCCCTCCACCCAAGGATACTTTGTGGAGTTTGGTTGAAATTGGGCCAGTGGTTCTGGAGAAGAAGTCAAAAATGTGAAAAGTATAGAGACGGACAGACAGACAGCTGGAAAGACGGACTACAGACAAAATGTGATCAGAAAAGCTCACTTGAGCTTTCACCTCAGGTGAGCTAAAAAAAAAAAGAGACCAATGGGGTACAATGCTCACCTGAGTCACTGCTGTTCTTATCATCACCTCTGTTTTTGGCTTGTTCATATCACAGTGGTAAGCAAAAGAAATAGTGCATTTTTTTTAAATTCATTATTTAGATTTATTAGTTCATTTTAAATTAATCTTTGGAATAACATTTTTTTCATTTTATGTAAAAAATCTTCACATGAGCCATCAGGTGAATTCAACAAAAAGTGGAATTTTGAGAATATACCTGTAGATTTTTTATCTGTCTTTATGTAGGCATATGGCTCAATTATCCCCCCCCCCTCTTTATTGATTTGAGCAAACTTTAATCTATAGTATGTCAGAAAGCTTTCATGCTTCATCTTTTCTGGCCCAGTGTCTAGATAGAAGTTTTAAAAAGACATCACCAGATTTTGCAGTACATGTAATTCTTAATTATTCCCCTTAAAAGAAGATATGGCTCTACAATTGAACAAACTTGAACTCTCTTTAACCAAGGATGCTTTGTTGCAAGTTTTGTTAAAATTGGTCCAATGGTTCTTGATAAGCTTATTGACAACACAAGAAAGACAGACGTCAGACACATTTTGATCAGAAATGCTTCCTTCCAGTGAGCAAAATACAGTGTTTAAAGGATGACTGCACTTAACGCCTGTTCTTGGGTCTTTTTCGGTTGATTCTGTTGCTTTTATATCTAAACCTTATTTCACTTTTGTATGTTTATGAAAGAATCCTGTCAATTTGGAACCAAATTTAAATCTTAAAATGATTTTAGAATGTGATACAATAAAACGATTCAATGTTTTTTGTCCTTACTGCTTTCCAAATATAGTGAATTTACACTTACCTGCCCTTGATTGAACATAAGATATGCATGAGAGGTGGAGCTAACATTGTAAGAATGGGTCTAAAATTAGACTTGATAAATAACAATTACATGTTTGGAAAAAAGAATGTGATCACTCTTTTCAATTTCCCTCTCCATTCTGTATGGCACAAATATACTTCTGACAAAGGTTTCAAAACGAAATTAACAATATGAGAACGTCAATGTAATTAAAGCAGATTTTATATCAATGCCAGATGATTTAACACAATGTCCTAATTAGCGCAAAACATGCTACCTTACAAGTCACGTGACGGAATTTAGTATTCACAAAGTTACCTGAGGTAAGTAATCATGGTGAATTATAATATTCAACATGTCACAATCCTTGGTTACAACACAGAGAGCTAATGTAAGAAGAAGCAGTTTTTTTCCCTTTTTAACCATGAGCGCACGTTTGTCTATTAATCTCCTTTTGACACATTATTATTTATGCAAATATGCAACTACTGTTAAATGTAGAATAATAGACAAACATGCACTGACTATGTATAAAGTCAGTAAAAAAGTGGGCATCCTCATTATCGAATGGAGATTCAAGAAATTGTGATGACCCCTGCCTTTGAAAACAGATTCGAACTTCGTAAATACACACTTTTATTAAACATAATTATATAAAGTTGTAGATTGGATGTTGATCATTCTTGTAATGAAAAGAAAAATGCTTGTTTTGAAAGTTTATTTTGTCGCAAATTTCGTATGTCCTTAAGTGCAGTCATCCTTTACAAGTTTTATCTCTATGTGAGGCCTTGAAAACTTACCTGTACATCATACAATGTGACCAGGTTCCTGTCAAACTGTGTTCTTAGTATCCATTTGACCACCTCTACATTGTTTATTTCATTGCCTACTTGAATGTCCAGTTCCTGATTAATAGACAAAAGGAAATGCATATTTTACCAGAAAGTGTATTACATTTGGCAAATTATGGTAGGTATAAGATTATGAAATCCACCCCGTAAAAATGTTATTGATAATTGAGGCAAAGTCTCACATCAAACAAATGCTCTGATAGTGTGCATCCCTTGCTGCAACATTTATGCAAGTTGAGTTTGTGAAGGAAAAAAATATTTCTTCGTCACTCATCCAGAACACTTACACGTAGGTCAGACCTAACAGTTGAAGCAAGTCTAGAAGTTTGCATCCCTTAAACCATCATCTATGCTAGTCACCATAGAACTTATAGTTACTTGTCAATGACTTAAACTATTCTATCATCCAGAAAATACGTGGGTCGTCCGGTAAAATCATGGACAAGTTGTCTAAGAGTGAAAAATAATCAGCACTGCATTATAAAATTTTCACTACTTTTTAGTACATTATTCATCAATATATATAGCAAATTTCAAATAGATATATGCTAAAATAAACAAAATATGAGACTTCATGTTCTGTGTGGTATCACCTTACAGCGCACAGATGATAACGTCAAAGTGCCTAAGGCAGCATCACGTTTCCTCTTTGCTAAAAAAGTTGGGTAAGCCCCACTTAATTAAGTTTGGGGATTTCATTGATGCACATACTTGAGTTTCCTTTTATTCTTCCATAAACAGTCGAGGAACCAATCTCGCACACACATGGGACCTTCTGAAGATTTATTAGTAAGTTATGGACAGTACTCTATCAATAGGCTATCTTATATCAAGGGTCTACAGTGACAGCATCTTTCTCTATTGCCAGTAGCAGTTTGTCCCTACGTTTTGTTCTATCTGAGGACCTGATAAAAAGACTTCTGCTCAGAAAACTCCCATTTCATTTGTAAACTAAAGATCTAGTGATATCATTTGTAAACTTAAGATCTAGTGATATTTTTTTTTTATGCCCCCGTATCGAAGATTCGGGGATATATAGTTTTTGCCCTGTCTGTCCGTCTGTTTGTCCGCAAAAATTTAACCTTGCCCATAACTTTTGATTGGTTGGAGCTATGATTTTCATATATCACATGTGCATTCTTTGTGACAAGACCTTTCTTTGGGTGCCATCATATTTGACCTTTTGACCTTGGAGTTTGACCCACTTTTGCAAAATTTTATGAGACTTTAACCTTGGCCATACCTTTTGAACAGTTGGTGCTTGAGGTTTCAAACTTCACATGTGTATTCCTTGTGACAAGACCTTCCTTTGGATACCAAAACTTTGACCCTTTCACCTTGACCTTGGAGTTTGATCTACTTTTGAAAAACTTTAACCTTGGCCATAACTTTTGAACGGTTGGTGCTAGGGCTTTCATACTTCATATATGTATTCCTTTTGACAAGACCTTTCTTTGGATACCAACCAATTTGACCCTTTGACCTTGACCTAGGAGTTTGACCTACTTTTGAAAAACTTTAACCTTGGCCATAACTTTTGAACAGTTGGTGCTAGACCTTTCATACTTCACATATGTAATCCTTGTGACAATACATTCCTTTGGATACCTACCACTTTGGCCCTTTGACCTTGACCTTGGAGTTTGACCTACTTTAAAAAACTTTAACCTTGGCCATAACATGTGCATGTTTGGTTCTAGGGCTTTCACATTTCATGAACATGTGTATCACTTTTGACAAGACCTTCCCTTGGGGCCCCCTTTGACCTTGACCTTGAGGTTTTACTTACTTTTAAAAAACCTTAACCTTCGCCATAACTTTTGAACAGTTGGAGCTAGGGCTTTCAAATTTCACAGGTATATTCCTCAAGACCAGACCTTTCTTTAAATACCAACATTTTTTATCTCTTGACCTGGATTTTGACTTGCATTTGAGAAACTTAAACCTTCGTCATAAGCTGCCATATGGGGTCATCAATGTTTCACAAACACATCTTGTTTTTTCTTCTGTAGTCATTTAAAGTTTCTTAGGGCCTCTTAACTACATCTAAATCAAACTGAACTGCTCCCTGGTGCACCATAACATCACCATTTTTTGTGTGTTGCATTTACCACTTTCCCATTTCAAATGCTTGGGAAACTGCCAAAAATTAAGCAAATGCTTTGAAATGTTCCATTAAAGAGGAAATAATAGATAGTGGATTAAAAAAAGTTGATAATTTTTACCCCAACCTTATCTATTTAATACTTTATTTCAAAATAATATTTGTGTATTCTCTAATGAAACCCTGGATTTTCGTGCAAGTTATTCAACATAGTGCTTACAGTTTCTTGGGAATGAAGCTGATTTATAAACTTGATTATCTTGTTCAATCACCTTGAAAAATGTTGATTAGAATCCATTCAAACAAATCTATTGGATATATCATACATGCAAGTTTGTCTAGGCAGGACTCATAGTTATTTGGAAATGGACTGCTCTAAAATCTTAAACTTATTCAATTACATATACACAGAAATTTAGAAAATATAGGTCAAAGCAAGTCTGTTTATGTACCTCCCTATAAAAACTAGAACTGTCCAAAATGGACAAATACCCCCAGCTGCATTTTTCAGAAAAAGTACCAAGTCACTAAACATATTTTATGGATCTAAGAGGTGATCACAGGGTGTGTAAACATTTAGAGTGAAGATTTATTTTGCTCATTATACTAGGCACAGCCTAATAAAACATAAATACAAATTCATGTAATAAATTACATTGTTATTAGATTAAAAAACAAAATAAATTGCAGCTATCTGTCATCTTTGTGATACATAACACTCTGCAATTTGTTTGTTGAAAGAAAAAAAAAAAAAAAAAAAAATATATATATATATATATATATATATATATATATATATATATATATATATATATAATTATATATATATATATATATATCAAATTATACTAAATCAAAGAGCTAGGTTCACTTTATGCATAAAATGGCCCTGTCCTTATATTAATTAATTGACTATCACCCTCTATCCCATTTCCTATATCAAAATAAAGTAGAGACTTAGTACTTTCATTTCCTATAACAAAATTTCTTTTTGAGAATCCAGGTATTGGAAAACAGGCTTTGAGAAAATGCAATGTTCTTGAATTTTGCAGAAAACATGCGTATTTGACTACCTTCAGCAAAGAATTAAAATATGAGCACAGCCCACGATCCAAAAGTTAAAACATGTTTTGTGATCTTTAGAAACAGATCTTTCATTATGTAATTGCATATTTTGGATCAGAGGTTGTGCTCTACATGTAATATGGAAAAATACCTCATTTTTTGGCCATTGTTAAGGGAATTTACAGGACATTAGAAAAATGACGCATTTTATGACGTCATAATGCATTGACTAGAGAGAAAATTATGTCATGTTCAATAGATACACGGTCACCAAGGGTCCAAGTTATAAATACTGCATTTTCAACCAAAACTGAGCAGTTTCGATTTTTCAGAAATTCTCAGGGCCAAAAAGGGCCCTAAGTGGCTCTTGCTCTTTATCTTGATAACTTTAAACCAAATTCATTTTAAAAAACATAGGTAATCAGAGATTAGAAAGCTCACCTCGACGAATGTTATCTTTAAGTAAGGCAGATTTCACATCATTTCTTTTTTTAGTTAGTGTACATCCCAAGAGCAATATCCATGCAAGTTTGGTTTAAGTACGACTTATAGTTACGGTACTTGGAAATAGACCTGTTCAAAAAACGTTTATCCTGTTTACTAATCAAGAAAATTTTGGTCAGTTCCAACATCCAAAGTAAGTCTGAAAGTTTTCATTCTTAGATGCACCATCTATGCAAGTTTAACCATAACAGGCCATAATGTTATATAACTACTCCAAAAAAATTATACTGGTCACTCATCTGGAAAATGTAGGTCAGATTCAGAATCCAAAGCAAGTCTGAAAGTGACCATCCCTAGCTACATCATCCATGCTAATTTGGTTAAAATATGGCTAAAAATTCACTCATGTGGAAAATCTATGTCGAATCCAGCATCCAAAGCAGGTTGGTCAGTGTCCATCCCTAGATGCATCATCCATGCATTAGTTTGGTCCAGGTAGGGTGAATATTTACTTGGGAATGGACCTGCTCCAAAAACTTTAACCTGGTCACTCATCTGGAAAATCTAGGTCAGATCCAGCATCTGTAACAAGTGTGATAGTGTCCATCCCTAGATGCATCATCCATGCAAGTTTGGTCAAGGTAGGACTAATAGTTACTTGGGTATGGACCTGCTCCAAAAACTTTAATCTGGTCACTCATTTGGAAAATCTAGGTCAGATCCAGCATCCGAAGCGTGGTAGTGTCCATCCCTAGATGCGTCATCCATGCAAGTTTGGTCAAGGTAGGGCTAACAGTTACTTGGAAATGGACCTGCTCCAAAAACTTTAACCTGGTCACTCAACTGGAAAATGTAGGTCAGATCCAGCATCTGAAGCAAGTGTGGTAGTGTCCATCCCTAGATGCATCATCCAAGCAAGTTTGGTCCAGGTAGGGCTTAAAGTTACTTGGGAATGGACTTGCTCCTAAAAATTTAACCGGGACGCCAACGCTAACACAGACACTGACGCCGGGGGTATAGCATAAGCTCATCTCGACTTCGTCAAGGTGAGCTAATGAAAGCTGGTCATCCAGTAGGGATGGGGTAATGGTAATGTGTATTATTACGATTCTTGTCTGTTTGTCTCTATATAATCAATACCCAACTATTTTCGCATAGTATTCTAAGGATTTACATAGCGTAAGCATACTGTGCTGAAATAGTGCACGAGGCTTCTTTTTCTGAAACAAGAGGCCCATGGGCCACAACACTCACCTGAGTCAATATGGCCCTGCTGTTCTTCATCAGCAGATATCTCCTCCTATATATTCATATGTAAAGCTTTGATCACCTGTTCAAGGCATACCTTACCCCCAGGTGCCATGTTTTGAATGAAATTGAATCTAAACTTTCTGAGGATGCTTCTATATTCATATAACTAATAAATAATCATGGCTTTGCT